CAGTCAGACTGCTCATAGTTTGTACCTAAAATAAGAACACTTTGGACTATAAAGGGGGGTTTGGGAAATTAGTTCAAGTGGGAAAGGTGATGTTGGAAAAAATGTGATTTTAAAGATTTGTTATCTTTACTTGAAAAGAAAAAGGTGTCATGGTTTTGCTCCTGTTTTTTTGGCAGTCTCGCTCATTTCGGTCTATCGCGGAAATGAAAATGAATCCAAGTATAGGAGTATAAGATAAAGGGTAGGGGGGAAATGTAGCCTACCAATCTTACCTTCAACCATTTCCATTTTATAACAGACAAACAGTTTTGGCAATTGTAGACACTTGATCAATATTGGGAGTGAGGAAATTTATTGGAAATAACATGCAAGACAATCAGATATACAATCAGTTTGGCATCTTATCAGTCATATCGTCATATGGGAAAGGAGGCCGAAATATTCGTTTCTCCCTCCACCACGTCCAATTTGTGTCGGATTGCTATAGTAATCAGGGAATGACTCCGTAGTTCAAGTTCTTTGCGGTTCTCCTCTTAAACGTTACTCTGTCCCTTGGAGTTATTAATAGCCCCATGCCCTGTCCACTCCAAGAACGTGCTCAATCAAGTTTTACCCAATTTGAAATCCACACTGATCCCCTTGTCTTTCGTCGTAGTCCTTTTAATCCATTCCGGAGGACTGATGAAACGACCCACTGTTAGGCACTAAACAGTCTGACAGTCGACCGTTATTTCCGAAGTTCCCTAAATGAACAATGCGCGCATTATGACTGAGCCGTCTGCTCATAAGCTTTGCCAACCACAGCACTCACAAAGAAATCATTGTTGACATGGTTCAAGCTCTGAGTTCCATGTTTGAAAGTAACCACAGGTCACAGGTCACCAAGTCTCCTTGAACCCAACCTCGTACCCAGGGTGTCGAGCAGTACGCGCCCATCACTACCTGCTCTCTCACCCTGGTATTGGATCATTTGCATGTGCAAGATTTTTGCACACGTATGCAAATGAGGAACAGTCTGGTGCCTGGATATGCGTTACACATTAGCGTTTGTTTTTGTATGCGGTGTCTGGGGTAAAAACAGAGTCAATTCGTAGCAGCGCGAGCACGTCGTGAGTTACGAAAACACGATTTTTGAAATCAAACTGTTACGATCTTATCCAGACAACATGCAGTATCATATTTCATATTAATATGAGCAAATTGGAAAGGAAATTAGAATTTTCGAGAAGGCGTGGACGAATGATCGCGAAAACACGTACTGCACGTTTTGAATAATAGCACCAAGTACGCGATAAAAAATCCATTACTAGCCAATTGCGGTATCCAATCAGGATACAGGAAGAAAGTTTCCTATCCAGGGTTTACTATTGGAAACGCGGTTGGAAATAAAGTAAGCACTGGGACGAGGTTGCCTTGAACCCGATAGTCTTCACTAAGGTTTACTCTTTCTTTCAGTATCATACTTTGAGATCAGAGAGAAGACAATGCGCTGGGTAAATTTGATTAATTTGCTTCACAAAAACTATTACCTGTACATGTAGATATTGGTCCGAGTTTAATAATATTGTTTTCACTCGGGTGCCCTCGATTCGCACATGCTGCTTGTACTTGAACTTTTAGGTCCTATTTTCCTCCCCGATACAAAGAAAAGACTAGCAAACCACAAATTAAATACCGACCGCGAGCTATATACAAATTCATGTAATAAAGAACTCATGTCTTTGAACAATTATTATAACCAAAGGAATCAGTTCTTAAATCTGATTTCCTTTCGATTGTACTAGGGCTAAGCATGGGCTAAGTCTGTCCTTATCCATTACCGATAACTTCACCGGCGTGTCAACCTGACTCAATTCTGATTTTTTTGGGAGGAATCCATAGCAACGATATACCTCAAGATAATGCACTGCGTTTTTATATTGCCTGTATGATCAAATATAGCTTCAGCTCTCGGTTTTAATTGAAATCCACAGCCTGGGTTTTGCATTGTAATAAACACGTACATGTATTATGATGTATAATTTATGGTTGTAGACCAGTAAATAAACTGTTATACTAGACTCCAGTGATAACTACCTCCACTTCCAAAAATCAGGGAAAAAATACTCACAACTCTCAAAGGTGTTTGAGACGCTTCAGATTTAAGCATATTTCATATTCTTTCATTTTCTATTCATTTTTTTTGGGGAGGGGGTAAGCCAAAACTTTTGTGAGAAATTTCCACCCAAAGATTATCACCCCTAAAAGTAGTCCTGAACTATAAGGCTGAAGCCCATCGCCATTTTGAAATGATGCCTGCGCTCCATTGCAAAATTGAGCAATTTTAGGGCCCGATTTCATCCAAAATCCACAGAAATAGAAGCTCACAGTCCTGTTCACGGCTTTCACCCTTCTTTCTTTTTACAAACCCTCAAGCTGATGGCCCACAAAATACTCTAATGTGGTAGAGAATTTGAGGGCATGATGCAAATCGTGATTTGGCCGGCGTAGGCAATTTTGTGCCTATTTACTGGCCTGCAACCATAGGATGCATAGCCATCAAAATTGCTATCGTCTTACTCCCCACACGGAGCCTCTCGCCAATTATGGAAGATATCCTGGCGTATCTCGGGCACACCGCGTAAACGATGAACCACGACCGATGGGAAAGCAAGACATTTTTATAAGTAATACACCGTGTGGTCTACGATTCACCTATGACACGAGAAGCTGAGAATGATAATCAGTTGGCCTAAAATGAAACCGCTTCAATTTTGTGTAGGCATTACGGGAGTTTCGAAACAAATTCATAGCTAAAAATCAAGAATGGGACGATTGTTTACACAATAAATATCGCATTCCTTTTTTTTTTCTTCAATACATTGACTTTACGTTACATTATTCTGAAGATTTTGGTTGATAAAAATGGTTGGGCTCTTTTTAATGGGAACAGGACCTTTTATTATAATTTGACTTTTGAGTTATACAAGTTTTTCACACTTAAGGGAAAAGTTATATTTTCAATGTATCGTGACGGTCTTAATTGATCGTGGTTTTAGTTATTGTGTGCCGGGTTTGCATTACAAAAACAACTTAAAATACATGTACGCTGATTTTATTCTACCATCAGCCCAAGCAAACGATTGTTAAAGTCTGCTGTGATTCAGAAACAAACAGAATGAAAACCATGGCAAAAATTGCTTCGCATTTCATTACATGGAACTGTAATTGCTTTCTAAGCAGCAGTTACGGAAGAAACGAAAGTTCCTTTTCCACGCACCACGACTGTTCCGTTCACTAAACCAGGACATCCGCCCTTCGGTCATTGCCCATTACCAGACAACTCTTCACAATGTTTCACTGTATCACCGAAAAGAAAACACGAAATTGAAAGTCCACGCAACTCGAGTTTCAAAAGCATGGTTTCTGAGTGCCCAATAGGTCTCAATTATAACTGTATGTCTATCGAAGAATCGAACTTGCGAGGATTAACTATGTACAGTTTAAATTTCTTCCTCAATTTGAGGTTCATAAACGTTCAGAGAAACTAAAAACAGTTAACCCTATGTATTAGAATAAATCCTATGGCGTGCAAATTTAACACGTACTCCTGAAATAGAGATATCTCTATTTTAACAGAGATGTCTCTATTTCCAAACGTGCCAAAATAGCATTTAATCCCGAAAGTGAGATATTTATTTATAAAAACTTATGTAGTGATATGTCTATTTGATATAGAAACTTCTCTACTCTATTAAAAATGGATACTCTCTAAATTCCAAAGAGTAAAATGAGGGACTAGATGGTTTAGAGTGAAAATCACTCCTATGGTTGATTGAAATAGTCTGGAAAAAAAACCCACTTCAGACGAAGCTCGAGTGAAAACTAGATCTTTACGATTGAAGGCCTTTCACTCTAAAACGTCTAGTCCCTAGTTTCTGACTGTGGGAGTGAATCATCACTCGAATGGAGTGAATTTTCACTCTTGAATTTAGAGAGTACGTATAAATTTCAAATAAGATATAGGCTATCTCTATATTTTATATTTCTAATAGAGATATCTCTATTTGAATCTATATCTCAATTTCTAATAGAGAAATCTCTATTTGACTCGGAAATCTAGATATCCCAATTTTAAATGTAGATCTCTACTTCTGATAGAGATATCTCTATTTGAAATCTAGATATCTCTATTTTTAAAAGAGACAATTCTATTTAAAATCTAGATATCTCAATTTTGAAATCTATATCTCTGTCTCTAATATAGATATCTCTATTTGAAATCTATATCTCTATCTCTAAGTTAGAGATATCTCAACTAAAGTGGAGATGTCTCTATTTTAGGATAAAATGTTAAATTTGCACGTCATTCAATCCACTCGTAAAGTGGCATTAACCTTTTGTTACTTACATTCTAAATTTCAATCGAATTCAAAATGCTTTTTTACAAAGTTGCATATACATATACTAATGCCTTAACCAAAAGACTAAAGGGGAACCGAAATTGAAACGCAGGAATGCAATTCAATAAATAAATGCTAACTGACGCACTTTCAAGTCTGGAGACATACGAAACTGCATGTGCAGAATATCCGGAAGGGGAAATTGGCTACTACAACCCACCGCGTAGATAAGAAGTCCTCATTAGAATCAAAGATTTCCAACATCCCGTCAAAATGCCTTCGCTCAAATTATCTGAGTTTGTTTTAAAGCTATACACTTTTGTAAAAGAAAAAATATATATTTGTCGCTTTACCAAGGAAAAATTCGATGGTAGTTTGGCCTGAAGTTATGTTAAGTGTGAAAATATCAGTTATCATGCTGATATAATTTCCAAAGAAAAACTCATCGGAAAAAAATATGTACAGATAAGAGAATGATCCGTACTATTAAATATATAGACATCGCTTCAAAAGAAGGTATGGCAATATAACATGCACATTGATCATCTTTGTTGCTATTCAACTAAAGTTTCTGCAGATAGTCAACTCAAATAACCTTAAACAAGATAAGAAATGATGTAGTAAGGGCACAATAACAATCATTATTTATTCATAGAATGATATATTAGCACCATCATGATTAAGGAGTTGTTGAATTATTGTACATTATACAAATAGCACCAAACAGGTTGAGAACGTAATAATATCACACTGACAAAAAAAATAAAAAAATTCTGCGTTTGAACAAAGCATTAGCTTTGGGGGCGCAGCATATGGACGAAAAGGAAAACAGACTGCCTACATAAACGAACACACCTCTAAAATAAGGGTTGGCCAACTGAACCCTGATCACACAATAGTACCCTTGTGTGACAGTGTAGCAGTTTTCCCCGTGTTTACTTAGGACCAAACCTTGAATATAATTGCATGAGTCGAGGGTCGTAAAAGGCACGAGGGAAAGGCTAAGTAGAAATATTAAAGGGGCACTCACATCAAAGGTAAACACATTACAGAATTGCCATATCTGGACGTTCCTGTGGCCAACACATGTACATGATATGCCCAAAATGAAACAATTTGAGGAAAAATTTGGGAAGCCAACTTTGTGCATCACTTATTGAAGTAGATGTAGAGGAATCCTGAAAATTTAACGTGAGCTTTGATATCTAACTATTCTAAGCAACGGCAATATTTGATGTACAAAAGACATGTCTATTCATAAAACTTTACATTCGAAGGTTAATTGGCTTTACGGAGGACTATCACTTCCGCCAAACACGATGGCTTTGCTATTACCAAATACTATGGTGTCTTTTCAACGAAAACGTTTATTTACCATCAAAGTTTGTTTATAATATAATAAAATTTTACTGCCCGTGCCCACACAACCAAATGTCATTTAAATTTGACGAATGCAAGTCGTCATCCAGTTGTTGCAAAAGCACGGGGGACCTTGAATGGTCATGACCTCCAGCACAGCACAGGGCAATCATTCTTCAATATCCTAAGATAAGGGTTTGCCTTTATCAAGAGAGAACCCACAATATGTAGCCATATCCCATAACCGATGATCCACGCGCACGTATAAGCAGTGTGCACATAAATGAAAGACCGACTTGAAACTACAATATGTCAGACAGGTTTAAACAATTACATGCAATGCTTGATGTGAAAACCTTGGTTAAATACAAAATAATGTACAAAACAAATGTTTGCATAAAACATTTTGCCAAAAATTCCAAACGTATATTTTTCCTCTACTAGAGCCGATCCTTACTTTGTTCTTGCACATGTTAACCACCTCACCTATTTAAAAACCAAAACACATGTTTTTGGTCCCGAAGCTCAGTCCACACACCAGTAGTGTAAGTGTTGTAAATAAACAAACATGTCAAGTGTTTGAGGAAACTTGACAAGCTGGAATAGGAAATAGTGTTTGAACAGTCCATTGTCAAGTGGATAAACTATCTACAGATCGCACCTGATTACACAGATTTGCGATGGAGTTAAAAGTCACAGAAGCAACTATTGTGGGTCTCAATACTGCTATGGTATGTTGTTAACGATTCAACACAAATACAGAACACTTTAGGACCACATCCATAGAGAGTAAAAGTCAGTACCTTGTAAAAAAAAAACATTTCCAGCAGACCTTTTTACAAGCACTTGTTAGTTTGTGCTTGCCTATAAAAACAGAAGTTATAAAGGAAATCCGTTTGAAAATGAAAGCGCATGTTGTTTATAATAAGTAATGGTGCCTTGCACTACAAACTTTTTTTCTCTCGATAAATCAAAGGCACTAGAAATCAATCGTTTGATCTTAATGCTGCATCAGTATTGATATAAAAAAAATATGAAAAACGGTAAAGAAACCGTACGGTTCAACGTTGTAAACATTACATGTAAACATGCATAAACTAAGATTACTTACAGTTATATTATTGACGTTTTCTATTGAAGCATATTTGTAACATATAGGCACAAAGTAACAGGGACATTGAGATGTCTCTCTGTTTCAAAGAAATAATTTACCATGTTCGATTCAAAACTGGAATTTCTTTTTTAGCATGTTAAGGCGCTATTGGCCTATATCATGAAAATGGCATTATGTATATATATTTGCAATGAGCATGATTTTTCATTGTGCATTTTCTTGAATTAATGAAAATTAACACGGCTGTGAGTATTCAACAAAAGAGAAAAGTAACTATATATACACGTAACTATAAATACACGTAGTCGGCAATTACATATCACAAGAGTGATGACCTTTTTTTCGAGAAAAAAAAGACATTTATGAAAATATTATTATGCCCTTTTTATGTGGATAAATGACTTTTTAGATATATACAAGTATTAACAAAGTTGTACAATGAGTTTACAAGGGCACATGTATCTTTCCAATATCACTTCATGCACTTTTTTAAAAGTTTTTTTCTGATGTTACTTATCTTTCCAGTGGGAGGATTTGGATCTTCAAACAATTCTAGTTGCTTCCCATGCAAGCCGGAGGATTTGTTCTTTATAAATTTACAGAATCACTTTCCTCGCCTAGGTCCATGGTGATGTCTGGTCTACGATAAGTGTTTTCATAAATGACCTCTTCATCATCTTCTTCTGGCTGTTCCTCCTCTTTTGGACTCACCAGTTCCTCTTTTGGTTTGACAGGTGATGGTGTTCCTGGTTTCGGAAGGAGTTTGGGTTTGGGTAGGAGAGGTGGTTTAGAAGCAGGCCTGGGTTTGGGTTTAGGTTTGGAGTCCTTGGGTTCTGGATCCGGGACAACATCAGCTTGTTTTTGAGCTTCTGTCTTCTTGACTGGCCTGGAGTACATTGCTGCAATGTCTCCAACATCAACTGTCAATCCTGCACAGGAAAGCCGACCCACCACAGTTACTCGGGAGGTATTGTCAGGTGGTCTAATGGGCTCACCTCCAGCTTCTTCCGTCTCTCGTATATGTTCGACGATAGCATCCCGGGGCGTCAGGCAGATGGTAACCGGACGGTGAATGGGATTGGACTGTATATTGACGACAGGTGGAGGAGTCTCGTCTAGTTCAGTCTTTAAGGGTTGGCTCTCTGCTTCCTGGATTTCAGGGTCTTGTTCTCCAGAGGGTGCTCTCTTCCTGTTGAGACAGAGAAGTTTCCGCACCAGGATGATGATGACGACAATCAAGATCAGCAAGATAAGGACAGAACCCACAACGATGCCAGCATTGACCCCAGATTCATCGTTGTTATCCCGAGGACTCATATTTTTACCACTTGGAAAACTCGGTAGAAGCTGGGCGATTAGTATCTCAGTACTGGCTACTCCTTCCTCATTGACCTCATTGTTGGCGTAACACTTGACAATGGTCGCGTTATCTTCTGCAAGCACATTCACAATTCGTAAAATCTGGTTGCTGCCTTCAACGACAACCTTCTCCCCGGAGGCAGAAGTAAACTTCTCTGGGGATTGCCCAGCAATTGTCCAGGTGTAATTGGAGATGATCGGGATGCCAGCAGCCGTACAGCTGAAGACAGCATCTTCTCCTATATGAACGGGGGAAGTGACTATGGAGACATTGGTCGGCCGATGAAAGGGCTTCAGACTGCAAGTCCTTGCAAGCTGTGGAGTGGCAGGAGTGTTCTCAACGCAAGTGAACACTGCCCCATTGTCAGTCTCCATCAGCTGAAGTTCATAAGTGGCTTTAGGGGGATCATCCTGAACTCTCCCTGGCAGAATTTCATGCCAACTCATCCAGTCTAATCGGGGTCTAGGATCTCCCCCTGCTGATATACAAGTAAGCACTACCTTCTGCCCCGGTTCCAGGTTTACCCCACTGGGTTCCATACTGCATCTGGGATACCCCTCATCAGGAGGTTCATACACAGTTATTGTGGCAATTCGTGACTCTCCCAAATATCGATCTCCTTGGAAGTAGACGCAGCCATATTCACCAGCATCCTCCATCCCGACATCCCGTATTTGGAGGAAATACTCCCCTGCCGATGTATCCCCAATCACTGAGAGTCTCTGCCACATAGTCCCCGAACGAAAAGACTGCCGAAACACTCGAGTACCCTTAGTGAGGTATGCATTGCTGGGGCTGTGACGGTACCAATACACGTTGTACTCGGGTTGACCGGGGCGGTTGTCTACGGCGCACCGTAAAACGACGATAGAGCCCGGCGTGGTGAAAGCATCGGTAGGGTTCTCTCGTAGCGGGCTTGTAGCTGAAATAGTCCCGCTGCTGATCAACATCAAAACGAGTAACTGCACTGCAGAGGATAAAACACTGCACACCATGGTTGAAATCTACTGCCCTGCCTTCAAGTCCAACCTCACTTGGCTGTGTATTTTGCGAAATTCCGCTCCGTAAAAATCAGGCAGAAGTTCACTCGATTAACTGATCAATGACAGCAAAAGAATCATTCCCTTCACTGCCGATACACGGATACCGGATAGCAAATATTGACATTTGACTTAGGGGTTGTAAACAAGCTGTCTCTCTTACGACGAATTCTGTACAATGCATATGAACCACCGATACAGTACGTCAGTGTCACACGCATGAAGAGGTTTACATAATGCAATGCGTAGGCAGATACGTGTTCAGTGCTGTATAATACAGGTACACTGTTCCCTGACTCACAGTCACAACACGAACACACAATCGAGAAATACGGTCCTAACCGCCGCGCACCAACTACAGCTGGAGATCACCCCTTGAAATTCTAATGGGCTTAATCACTTCCGGGTCAACATCCTACGAATGTGTCACGTGTTGTGATTGATGAGAGTGAGATAAGGGGCCCTTAATGCTGCCCTGTGGGTACGGAAGTGCTGATGAGTAGCTAGTCTCCAGGGGTGGTCCTGCTGAATTCTGTCGTCTGCTGATTTTAATCAGTGGTAAGAACGAGACATCTTGCTAACATCATAAATTAGTCGTAAGGTTATCAATAATCTTCCTCCCGAATTTCCTCGAGTCTCTAAATTCATACTGGATTCCTGTCGTACGGAGTGGACCAACAGTTTAGTTAGCTTCATCGGCATGATCTAAAAAAACACATTTTAGTCCACGTCGTTAAGCTCATATAGTTCAAAGTGCGGTTTTATGATTACAAAATGTTGGTCCCCAAACTTTTGTCCTTGAACGCTACTCGCATTTTCCAGTCACACATGGTCCCCAAACTTTTGTCCTTGAACGCTACTCGCATTTTCCAGTCACACATACAGGTTGAGGTGCATGCCAAAACGCTGCTCGAAAAGCGTGTTTGTTTTGAAATATTTTAATTAAAACGTTTATCAAATTATTGCAGTTTGGACCATGTATGTATTATGACCGTTTCAAGGAGTATATAAAAATGAGTGGTGCGATCATATAAATGCACTGCTGAAAACATGAATTTTGTTTTTCTTTATACATTATGTGGTTAAATTTGACCCAGATGTGTGATATGATAATAAGTAAAACAACCGCCCCCCCCCCCCCAAACAAAACAAATCACCAAATTGAAAACACTTAATTTTGTCACGTACGGAAATGAGAACGGTGGACAGTGAGTGCACTGACGAATTCTGACTCTCCCCGTGTTTCTTCCATTATAGACGTTAAAGTTGACTTTTAACTACCTTTCAGCAATACACTGATGACATTTTATAGGCCTGTCAGAATCAACATTAGTAATGAAATCGTCATATTAAAGAAAAAGGCAAATTTTATTGTTTGAGCTTATTACAACCTCTTATAATAAATTGACAGAATAAAAAAAACCATTATGGTCTCGGCGTTTTATATGGGTATTAAAAACCATGGAGCCATTGAAATAAAAAAAACCAACGCTATGGAATAAAAGAATTAAAACGTTAAAAAATCTCTAAACAAACAACTGTGAATCAATCAAAATAATAATATTGTTTGAAAGAAATTGACCTGAGATGGAGCCTTGTTGATTATAGTCCCGTAATTTAGCCAAGCCCCACCCCCTGCGCCATGGACGGCTACTTCAACCATAGCCCGCCGCGTACAGCAATGGCCAGGCGGCATGACACTGTGGTCTCTGCAGCCAGAAATTTCAGGCTGGAAATGAAGTCTATTGCACACCCAGTTACTCAAGTAATTGTATGAGGGCGCTATCACTAATGCCCGGTCCCTTCCGACAATTATTTTTTTTTCCTCGTAGAAGTGCAGGCCAACAGTCTTATTCATCTCGATTTCATAACTTAATTACACTCTCAACTGGACCATGTTCGTTACAGATTGTCTGTCTATTATCTGTTACATTGTATTTATCTGTAATTCGTCTCTATTTATCTGCGACTTCCTTATTTCGTTTTCAACTTTTTTTCGAGGGCAACCGAACAACAATCATCTTGAATCGGCTTGTCACGATTAATAACGTCAACAACTGTGGTCACGAGAAGAGTTCACTCAAACTGGTATCTATAAGCAAACCGAGGGTGCCAATCATGGGCGTCGCGAAGGGGCCGGGGGAGCAAGGGGCGGTCCCCCCCCCCGGAAGAGCCCCCCCCCCCCCAAAAAAAAAGAGGGGGAAAAGAAGGGGGAAAAAAAAAAAAGGGGGCGCGAAGTCATACTGCTGTACATTTAATGGTTTGGGGGGAGGGGGAAAGGCAAATGTCCCGTGCCGGGCCCCTTGTCTTGTTTTGCACCCCCCTCCCCCTCTAGAAGAAATTCTGGTGACGCCCATGGCGCCAATGTATAAGTAGTACACAATGTAGACGTCTCACGCGCAACAAAATGAAACTTCCGAATTATAATTGTTTTCGTAAATCTTACTCTCGTTTCATATGTCACCCCTTATCCCAAATAATCCCCAAACACAGGTTCTCAGAGTAGTATTTGAAACATGAACCTTTACCCCTACCCCTAAGGGGCCATTCAAAATGTTCAATGTGTTGAAATTTTACCCACTGAGTTGTGACCCACCCACCCCACAAGCCCCACCCAAAAAAGAGGGTCACATCCGCCGTAGGGCTCCACATTCACTTCTACAGAAGCTTCTAAATGTCAAAGAGCGCAATGCTGGCGGATGATGTAATTATCTATATCCTCGATTTTAAGAGTTTGTTTCCATTTTTACTTCCAAGCACGGGTGGTTTTACTTTCCGTTTCCATGGTTACAGTGTTTCTACTTCCTAGGTAAGCTATTTTGGTGTGTTTTTTTTTGCTTCGTCGAAGACATCCATTCTATTTTTGTCAAAGTCATTTTATCCATGAATATCCATGCAATCCATTGAACGACAGTTCTGCAGACCCCGATTGGGCGACAAAGCACAATCATATGGTCAATTTGACCAATCAGAACACAGGCTTCAAACATTCTGGACCAATTAGATGAATTCGGACGCATAGTCGATACGAGCAGCAAGCTCGAACTTAAAAACTCATGCATAAAAAAACAACAAACAAGAAATAGTAATATGTTATGAAATATTTGGCGAAATGCTTTATTCGAAGTACCTCAAGTCTCATGCAATATTACATTCGAATATTCTGTTTATCATTTATCATTATTTACAAAATTCAATCCCCCAAGAATCCCAAAACTACGTTGTCATCGTTTTGAACAACTTCACAATTCAGTCAATACCTAACGCGCACCATTGTTTTCTTTACAAGAATGTACAAGCATGGACTAATCTTTTAGACAAAAGCAAAATATTATGAAAGGTTTAATAAAATCCACCTCCAATATTTTTTTCAATTTACTTTTTTTGACGGGAGGAGAACCGATTTTGATTGAGAGCCTCGACTTCGTTTCACGGGTGCCGGAGATTTGAAGCCCCTGACCACAGACATAATACATGTATGCACAAAACCTGTGTAGTTATAACAATGATGATTTTATAACCTTTGAAGAACGGAAATATTCTTTTTAGGAAATGTCTTTTATAGAATCAATTTTATCTTGAAATTACCACTAAATTACTGACATTATCAGTAAGGGTAAGGCTTCTGTCAATGTTACCCAGAGTGCCAAAGTGCCCGCTTTACCCCACGATTAACAAAGCTAGTGTAGTATAAGGTCAAGATTTCGCAGTATTTTTAGCTATTCTGTTACTACGGACTTGTTTTCTAATAATTATTATTCGGAAGCCAGAGATGAAGCCAAACTGAAACGAAGCCGAGCTTTTCAATACCTCAAGCGTTCGCTTGCGTTTTTTGCACACCGCCCTCTACAGTTCATGCACAGAGACTATAAAGTTGCATTACAGAACCTTTGAGGTTCTAATGGCCGCATACTCAGTCCTTTCTTCAGTATCGTTGACGTCTTCATGTCGGGAGGGGAACCCCGTCCAGTCCAAATCGGCGTACACCAGATTCAACAAGCTACTAGCTTCACTCTTGCGATTGTCAGGATCTGAAGAGAGCGCCGTATCATTCATCGGGTATTGCGTATTCTCGTATGGAGACTCCCTGCTGAATCGATTCGCCTCTTCCTGCAGCTTCAAACCGATTTCAGTGTTCTCGTAGACAGATTCCGGCGTCTGGATATTCCTTGGACTCGCAACTGGAACCTCTTCATTCGGCACTTTTGGTACGGCGTTGAAGAACGCTGAGTACCGCTTGACCGTGCTCGTGGCTTCTTCAGCCAGTGAAGACTCGCTTTTGACGGCAGACGGTCGGTCCAGGGTGGAGGCTTTCCTCTTTCGCCAGCTGATCGATCCCCTCTTGAACATTGTTGAGCAGTGACTCTTGGACCGGATCGTAGATGCTAGTTGCTCCAGGAAATCAGGATGCACGAAGGATGATCGTCTGGGTGACTTATCGGACTTCACGCTGTTTTGCTTATGTTTGCTACGAGGGGCATCGTCGCTGCTAGACCGCTGAACATCGCTCGTGTTGCTATCGTTTTCCTGGGCAGTGTTGGGTAAGACAACAATATCCAGCTTGTCTATACGAGGCTTGTAAGCCGGACGTAGAGTCTTTCTCTCGGCGGGTTTTTCTTGTTTGTCCACAATCTTGATTTTAATCAAAATTCCTATCAGTACAAAAACGATAAGTATGAGCATCGTGAATCCCACTGCAGCACCGGCGGTGAAACCCTTACTATTTGGGCCGGGTTGCTGGACAGAGTCCGGGGGTTGTCTGGTAGTATCATCCTCGAGAGGTGGTGACGGAGAAACAGGTTCATCCACTTCATTGGTAGTGACTGGGATAATTGCCGCCGAATTTTTGGGTTTGGGTGATTCCGGGACCCGTTTTGGCGCAGTCCGTAGCGGAGGGAGTTTGGGTGGGGCTGGGGTCTGGAACTCGGTAGCTTGGACTGTCAAGGTTTGCATCCAAGTCTTTCGTGATGTTCGCGGAGGAACAAACGGTGTTGAAGTGGTGGGCGTGGCTTTGGTGCTTCTTAGTAGGGGTTTAGTGGTAGTTACCGTAGGAATGGGGTTCCGTTGGACCACAACTCGGACTATATCCTCGTCCATTCCTTTGATGTCTAGCGGGTTTCTAGCTACGCATTGCACCGGCATCCCGTTGTCATCTTGAGTGATGTTCAGTATTCGTAGAGATGCTCCTTCGTTGGCTAAGACGAAACGTCCCTTGGTCCTTGTCACTTTAGTCATGGACTGTCCCTTTCCCACAAACCACCGGTATTTAATGGAAGACGGCACGCTAGTGGCCAGGCAGAAGAATTCGGCATAGTCGCCTACTGCGACCATCTGTGGAGGCATGATGGTGACATGAGTAGGAATCTCAAAGGGGACCACGGTACAGCTTCCAAAGTCTGCAGAGTGTGCGGACCTAGAGAAGCATGTAAATGTCACATTGTTGTCGTGGCCAGTCAGGAGCCGGTGCAAGTACGCTCCCGTCTGTTGACCGGTCGAGTTGTGGTGAGCCGGAATGTCGGATTTCTTCCGCCGTGCCCAAGAGAGCGTGGCCGGCGGATTGCCACCTGCCGAGATACACGAGAACGTCGCGTACTCCCCAGGTTGTGGATTGGTTGGGGTAATGGAACACTTGGGATACCCCTGATGCGGAAGGTGGAGTTCCTGGACGCTCAGCATCGCAGAAGCTCGGGCGCTACGGCCGGAATCGTACATGATACACCGGAACTGACCTTGATCATCTGCTGTCGTCGACGAGATGTGAAGATTGAACTCCCCTTCGTTCATGTTTCCGGTAATGCTGTATCGGCTCCGTTTGTCGGCATCCACGGCCGGGTAAAGTGTCCTATCCACACTGAGGAATTTCTGTTGGTTCCGGGGTCCAGTCCACGCCCAATAGACATGCTGCTTGCCTCTCTGGTATTCACCCGCTATAATGCATTCAAAAGTATGCGGCTGGCCGATTGTTACTGTGGAATCGGACGGTTTCACTCGCAGTTCGGCAGCGTATACCGCCGTAAGAACAAGGCTGGTAAAAATGAGTCTGGATTCCATACTGAACGTCTACTTAAGATGTTGATCTGCGTCGGTCTTTCTTTGTGGCATAAATGTGCTTGCGAGATGGCATTAGGAAAATGGCGTCCTGTTACAGCAGCCGAAAGCGTGTACACAATCTACAGCACGCACAACTTGCTTTAAAGTTTCAGAAGACAACCCCACAGCATGCACGTATCATGACTCACTGCGCATAATCGTCCCCCGCGTGGGGCAGCAACCTGCGCTCTGCTTGTCAAGAACCTCACCAGAGTTAATTCGCACATCCTACAGCAAACCAATCGGACTGAGCCAGTGACAAACAACTACGTCAATGCAACTCTAATTTTAGCCACTTGTGGTTCGTTAGAGATGAAGGTGTATAATATGGGTAATGAAAAGGAGGGAAGGGTACTTGTACAAAAACAGGGGTAGCAGTAACATGCGGAATCGAAACCAGGTGGGATGGGGAAGAAAACAGTTGCTTCTGTACTCGAGGTGGAAATGCGAATGTGGAAATCCGTAAGAGGATACTGAATGGGAGACTTTTGAGACGTTGGTGGCAGCAAACACATCGGTCATTTCAATTGTTTAAGCTTAAGTGCGCATGCCCAGTATGACGCAAACAATGGAAAAAAAGACTGGTGTGTTTGCTACCACCAACGTCTCAAAAGTCTCCCGTTAAGGAAGCAATCAACATTTATATTATAGAACATACAATTGTGATTTTAAGTCTGAGTTTCAGGCAATAATTTACCAAAGTCAGTTCTAATTTAATACAGAGATGTTATTGACCAAACTGTTGTGTCCTTATAGTGCGCCCTCTATCGGCAGGATTGAGGTGTTCCGCCATGTTGCATTAAACAGTGTGTTCCGATATTCTTGCGTCCGATATTCCTTCCTTTCCACGACATAACACAAACCCATACATAATAATAATACATACTTTCCAAATCCGAGGTGAGTGCTCTCCTCGCTTGGGCAGATCCTGCAAGCTAATATTATCCGATCTCGCATATTTGCGTGGCAAACTGATAACTCGGTGTTTGTATTCTTTCAATTTTTTCGACTCTTTTTTTCTAAGTGGCGTTGATATTTATGTATTCAAGACACGAAAATGGTTGTGCTTCCGTGTATGCATTTTTTAGCAGGTTCATATCATGTAGTTTATGTATATCAGAAGTTTTCCGAACTTTGTTCGAAACATTAAGGAATTCCTTTTTAAATAATGGGGGGGGGGGGAGAGTAGGTGGAATTGTTTGGTTTGTGTCAGTAATATATCTCCATTCCCTGTACAGCCTCCGTGTGGAAAAAAGAAACACGTATCAGAAGCGGAATTGTAGCTTAAAGTCAGCGAAAAACATTTGCAATTCGGATTATTTTTGCCATTTCAAAAGTCTAGAGCATTGATAAGTTCTTTGCTTTGTTGATTTCTTTTGATTAATGTTTCGAAAATTTTCTTTTTCTTTTCTCTAGCTGAAGTCGGGGTCTTTGTTAAAACTTGTATCCACCTATTGTGTATAAACACAATAACAATGACCCGACTATGACCTGTGAATTTGCAAGTTTGAGCATGATTGGAGTCAGGAAACCATACAGTTTAGCTTATTTCCTGTTGGTCGGCTTATTTTCACGCTGGTACCATATTTATCTGTAGAAGTGTATAATGGATGAAGATATAATGCGAATGTCCTGTGTGCATTACCCGTCCTACCATCCATCAGTCGGACCACCCAAGTAGTTCCGTTTTTAGAACCCCTAAATGGTGCGATAACTGGCCATGCACCGTGAATGAATGGAGCTATGGGATAAGTTACAACGCCGATGGCACAATTTTGTGTCCAGCTATGGGATAAGTTGCAACATTGAGGGCACAATTTTGTGTCCAGCTGCTATGGGATATATAAGTTGCAACGCCGATGGCACAATTTTGTGTCCAGCTATGGGATAAGTTGCAACATTGAGGGCACAATTTTGTGTCCAGCTGCTGTGATATATAAGTTGCAACGTCGAGGGCACAATTTTGTCCAGCTTTGCAAATACAAAATATTGACAATCGTGAGTCACGAGGACGCATTGCCAGCGCCATCATAACTCTCATTTAGTGCAAATTTCAGATCCGCTCAACCCTCTACTCTACTGCTCTCATTACCCTCAAACTCAATTCACATGCAACGATAACAAAATGTAGTTATGTCTTCTTTTCAGCCTCAGCTTTTTAAACTGTACTTCACAGAAATGTATTTTTTTTCAAACTATAAAGAACCTAAAGTTAACTTAAGTGGAGAACAATTGAAACAAAAGCCAGACAAACCTAACTAGGTCCCATGCCGCTACCATTAATCACCCAAGCAGAGATAGCTAGCCTGTCTGCCTGACTCATTAACAGCAATGAGCAAGCCTTTGCATGTACCATGATAGTGTAGTGAATATGGTGTATGTTCTCGGGAAATCGTCTTTCCAAGCTAGCGAGTAGCGGATATTACAAATTGTGCTGTTTCATGCATGACGTACCGGTACGAGGCTATAGCAAACGACCTCAATGGGACTTTGGGCCGGAAACGGCGGCACCCGATGTCAGTACATTTTACAAAAAAGTCTGGATTTGTTTTTGCGGGTGATCTAGAGTCACGTTATTTCTGCAGACACCCAAATACCTTGCGGGAATAATGCATGGAGATAAAGGTCATAAAGTGTCCTTAGAAATGCCCAGACGGAAAGGGGGTAGATTAGGCATCCTTCTTTGCAAGGCATGCAAATGCGCCCTCCACGGCCACACTTTGGAATCAATGTGTATAGGCATAGAAGGCCAGCGACTTGTTAGTGCAATCGCAGATTGAGTCAGTTCCCAGGCCCTCCGCGCTTATGATCCGCTGGAAATTTTGAAGGTGCTTTGTTTTTCTTAGATTGCCATAATTTAGTATTTCATACTGATCAGTAGCCACATTCCAAAGGTCTTGGTCACATAACACAACGTAATGTTTCACATTTACGGAGAATGATCCTTAACGATTTGAAAACCCTGTTTGTTTACTACATACATGCAACGCGAAACTTTTGTTTTTACTTATTAATTTTTAATATTTTTGGCATTCCATACACGTATCTCCAGAATAAACCGTCGTATTTTGAGCGACACTGTCTACATAAAGACTGGCGCCCACAAATCAGCACATTAGTCAAAATCCACTGAGTGAATCTAGCGCCATGCTAGGTCCAGATTCACAAATTGCAATTCCGGCGCACACGCGTTTGAAGCAACTTTTGTGAACAGAAAAAGGCGCAACAACAAGGGAACTTGATAAAAAAAAACAGGCTCTAACGCAAGCGGGTCTAGAGCCAATACTTTTGGGGGGCTGGCAGGGTGGATCCAGTTTTTTTTTTCAGGGTCGAGGCGCGCTGAAACGTAGACTGGTTATTTTCTCCGGACACTTAGGCCTCCGAAAATCAATTTGGGGGGAGGGCGGGCTCGTGCCATATTTTCAATGGGGAGCGCCGATAAAATCCTACAATCAGGCACACTATATTAACTAAAAGTGTACAAATGCACCCTTCTATTTATTTAGGGGGATTTAGAGTAGTGATTGCCTTTCCATGTAGTTGACCAATGGTAACAATCTTTTTGAGTGACCAAAATACTCACCCTGGGTCAAGAAAAACGTGACCAAACCCCCAAATCAGACCTGGACAGCTGGGGGGGGGGGGGGAACATTTGATAGGCGCAATATCATCTCTGCAATAACGTGATTGTAGAGCCCAGTTATGGCGCACTCCAGTCACAAGTGTCCCTTTAACCCCAGCCCTATTACAATGGCGCTGAAGGCAGCTAATTTTCACAAAATGTTATGAGTGAAACGCAGGTGTCGCAAAGCACTGTGGGTAGATCAACTCCATCATTGCACGCACATTCGGTGCGCATGGGTCGTGCGCACGCGGAAGTGATAACCGTGTGTATGATGAGAACTCAAGGAAATAAATAAAGGAGAGGTCAAAGGACGCTGGGGATGAGCAGATGCCTTGAAAACAAGTGCGAGTGCACAATAAGCTCTGGGGAAAAATGCGACGCCGATGGCACATATGGAATACTATACTTTTAGTAAATTTTAAGGACAGACAGACCATAAGACCGACCCACCGACCGACCACCAAGCTCCTGCCAGTGCTCCCGTCCACCTTTTGGGGACATTTCCCCTTCTGGATACCGACCAACCACTACACAAAAGGCGTCCACCTTGTTCGAGGAAGATCTTAGGCTACAGTCCAAAATTAATGCGAGTGCCCAATAAGCTCTGGCCGTGTTGCAACAAGTCTTGCATGAAATTCGTGCATGATCTCGATCAAATTGATCCATGCCAGAGCTGAAAAAATGCGACGCCGAAAATGCGATGCCATGGCACCTATTGAACACCATACATTTCGTCAATTTTCGTACCAGACAGACCGACTAGCAAAAATGCGACGCCGATGGCACACATGGAACACCATACTTTTGGTCAATTTTCGGAACAGACAGACCGACCTCCAAAAAATGCGACGCCGATGGCACATATGGAACACCATACTTTTGGTCAATTTTCAGGACAGACAGACCGACCACCAAGTGGCATGTATAGAAGCTCCTGCCAGAGCTTCAAAATATTGTCACAGTTTGTGAGGTCACGTGATCCCGAAACTTAGATACACCAAAACAACATTTAAACAATCGTAGAAAAAATTCAGATATGTTTTTAAATGGATTTATCAGTTGACATCATACAGCATACCCGCTTTACGTCGGGGAATAAAAATGTCCCTTAGGCTGCTTCCACATTTAATTTACACAGAATTTATCCATTCTTGAATCATCAGCTGAACTATCATCACAATCGACGGAAGACTGTACATCAGACGGGAATCGAATGGTATATCCGGCCATTTCAAATCAAGCTGGCAATTACACTGCCTTTAACAAGAAGTGTAAGATTACGGAAGGTACATAGCCAATGTAGATCTATCATATTTTAAAAAAACTACTTTTACAGTGACAGAATTGCCGACAAATATTTACCAGTTCATTACTTCTACATTTTCCTATAACATGCACTGCATACACTCTTTTCCCCCCAGCTAATATTTCCAGCCATGACACGTTGACGTTGTTCACGCTCACTGACAAATTGCGATGTTTACACGGTGGTTGATGGACCGCGTCGACCTTTTGCCTTCACAAAAAGCTGGGGAAAATGATCGAGTGACAAGTTTTTTCATGAAGTCCACATTTTTTTACACCATACTAATTCCACAATTTCTGGAAAATTTAAAACGGTTCAAGTCCATGTATATCATCAACCACCAAACCACAATAAATATGCCCTTGAAAACAGTACAATACTCGTTTACAATAAAGGACTCAATAGTAGTATAACCAAACAGTGACCTTACTTCCCCGATACCATTAAAACTGTTTCCTTTGTGTCAGTGCAATCGTGCCATTGTGGTGGAGTACAATACATCCCGGAAATGGTATCAGCCGGGAAATATGTCCCATAAATAGTACTAGTACACCACTGGGCTTACGCAGATAGAACTGCTTCACTGTACATACTACAGGAACCTGTAGTGATGATTAGATCGTTGGTGGTATTGCCATACTGAATACTGGAAAGACATCTCTCGCCGCCTTCTGCGTGCTCATGAACTCAGGATTACTCTAACAAGCCTGGAGCCGTTGGTGACGTTCTTACGAAAGTAATGCGTAATGTGGGGAGTGTTCAAAGTCAACTGCCGGGCGGATGTAACTAGCCTCCATGCCAATGGACACTGGTTGTTTCACACCTTGCCCCAGCGAACTAACATCCGACTAAATTTACTCTGGAAAGCACAGTGAAATTTAGATGGAAACAACCAAGGGCCTGCAATTTTGAGCCTGATTGTCGACTGCATGAACACTCCAAGATTTCAAACCACCAACATGCATCGACGTGTCGGTGAACTTGGTACTGGATTAACCATGTTGTCTGTGGTTATCTTGGTCGCCTTATGCACGGCAATCGAAGCCGAATTCGTAAGAAACCCTGAGAGTGTGACAGTGAATGAAGGAGACAATGTTACTTTGACCTGCGAAGAGTCAAGCCGCTATGATGCTCAATCTTCGTGCCCTAATTATTTTTACTACTGGATGAGGAATACTCAAACTGCTTCGGAGGAATACCTCACAAACTGTATCTCAGTTACTGTTTACATTGATCGAATGACAGTTACGAAATATGATGGACTTTACACTCTCGAAATTCAAGACGTACGCCCCGAAGATAGTGGCGACTACTATTGTTACATATATTACGGTGGGCCTTTTTACTACTATTCAGACACTGGCCTTTTAACAGTTAACACACTACCAAGGAACCCTCCTTCGTGTGAAATTCTTCCCAGAGCGCCCTCTGTTGGGATGACTGTTGAACTAAGATGCCAACTCTCATCGAAGGATCCGCCAAGTCCACTGACTTGGTTCGAGTCCAAGTCCGGTCAAATAGTCCCACCAGAGCCGACGGGTCCAACCAATCCGGGAAAGTACTCCACCGTGAATCTTCAGATTACCGAGAGAGATAACAACAAGGAGTTTACCTGCGTAGCTGGCCACGATCTGGACAAAGGACCCCGGTGCGCCATAACCCCGCTACAGGTACCCACAATTGTCTCCATCTTCCCCATTCCTTCACTGACCGTATCTGAAGGAGAGGTAGCGTTATTCAGGTGCGAATCCGAGTCCATCCCAGCAGCTGAGGAATACAGATGGCGCTTGCGCAGAGACAACGACTCGGAGGTAAAGGTCAATATGAACACTTTGCCGTCGCAGGGAGAAACATATCGGCTGAGTGCTAATGGACAAGACTTGCAGATTTCGGGCGTGACAGTGTCTAACTTCAACAACACCATGGTAAGGTGCATTGCAATCAACTCATTGGGGCCAGAGAGCAGCAGTGAAAGTTTGCTCATCGTTGTCGCCATGGAAACAACCACAAAAGGTGAACCAACAACTACAGCTAGCAAGGGACGAACCGACATCAGTTCCGGTGGAGCTGGCACTAGTACCGGCATCATCGTTGGGGGCGTTCTCGGGGTGATACTTTTATTGGTACTAATCGCCGTCCTTGGGCTGTACATAGCCAGGAACAGACACAAGCCACAGTTTGTAGGGGCTCGGTTCCAAAACTCACCAGGCCACGAGAGGGTTGGTATGTCGGTGGTACAGGCGTCTCCAACGTACGAAGAGCTACCACAAGACACCAACTGCCACAATGGCCAGCTAGACAGGAGCTGGTCATTGGATGACACGGCGCATGCGCAGTCACATCTGTACGCCAGCCCAGACGAGGCTAGGCGGGAGAAGGCTCGATCTGATGTCTCTGCATCGCCTACCTACGCCAATAGCTCAGGCTACGCTAACCTGCCACGTAGTCACAGCCAAGAGAAGAGAGTCTCCAACAGTCACTCACCTTACGCCGTGCCAGACAAGCGGGATAAATCTCGACCAGATCCGGTCGGGTCGGAGGTGACCGAGGCTGAACCGTTGGACGACCCAAAGCTTAAGAACGTGGAGGGGCTTGTCTACGCTGATTTGGATCTTCAGCGCCCTCAAGCAGCTAATAAAGAGAACGAGCAACCGGACAATCCCATCAATTACGCCTCTATCCGTGGCGACATGGCGGAAATTAGGGGTTTGCTTAGCAGAAAATAGACCGTTTGTATTAAGCACATTCCTTGCAGTGCTCATATAAATTCAACATTTTGATTAATAGTTCTGTATGGTCAAGCCCTCTAAGAAATGTCTATCAATTGTATTGTTAGATAAGTTGCCTGAAGGGATTGGTCCCATTCACCAATACACTCTACTATGAATTTCTGTTTATGTTAAACAAACTAATTTGCTGGAGTAATCCAATTGATGTATATAACGAAGAAGATGGTAATAGACGTGTGTCTTTTTGTAACTGTTGTAATGTATTTTACAGCTGATTCGGCGAAAGGGGTTAATTTTGTAGGCCTAAGGGACTATTTACTCAGCCAGCTGAAGAAAAGTGACCGAAAGAAGGACATGTTGGAAATCTACTTTCTGTGCCTAAAGTGATTTTAAGTGAAATTAATACGTATACATTCTAGCAGCTTCTTTGTTATTTTGTCTTGGGCCCTGGAATGACTTAAAGTGTCCATGTAATGTACTTTTTGTAATGCTGTCCTCGAACATTTACCTTTGTGTCCAATTTAACCTAATTTTAAATTTTTGTTTTGCTATTGGACAGAGTATTTTGGTACCTTTTTGGTTTTTATGCCAATGCAAATTTCCATATTTATGAGCATACTGTGATGTCATTCCAGGCAAAAACATTAATGTTACAGCTATTTCAGCACAAAAAGTTGCTAGACATCACAGCAACAGCGCCCTCAGTTGTCCGAAAAAACATGAAAAATGTTCAATGTTTAATGAAGTGCACTTTCAATCAAATTAACCTAAAGGGATGTCAACTAGTTTTCATACATTTAAGAGGAGTAGAAAGTTGCACAAAATGTGTTCCTACGCAAAATTCATCGCATGAACCATAACAGCGTCATAATTTGTGATACGATCACTGCAATAATTCGCCTTAAAGAAAATAACTATTTACACAGATATTCTTATCCGATGGGGGTTCAGTGAGGACTATAACATGTTTCGAGTCCATTACGGATGTTAGAGGTCAAACGAGTCTTTTATAATGCGTGTTTCTTTTTGCAAAAGGAACACGTACAATTCGAGCTTATCTTTCGAATCTTAATTAACTTTGTATACTGATCACATTCACAGTTTGGCTTGACAGCTATTACTTTTAAAAGATTGATCGATTTTACTATGCATAAACATATGTTATTGGATATAAGTATAATATTAAAAAAAAATTAATGCTCTTCAAATTAACTGCAAACTGTTTACTATTGAAATGTGCCACTGAGTTTTTGTCAGACATTGTACTTGGGATTAAAGTAGATCCTTTTGTTACAAAATGTACTTGTTCATTGCCACGTCGAGCCAGTGTACAAATCAGCCTTCACGGAGCAGACATCCTGGCTAATAAAGTAAAGGCATTCCAGTACATAAACCTTCTGGACTGTATATCAACCTCCAGTTTTCTTTAAAGGGAATGTACATCATTGGCCTTTGCTGTAATTTTCAGAAATGGAGTATTTGAGGGGTTAGTATAATATATCAAATATTGTTACAATGACAATGTTTGAAGTCTTATGGTCGAAAATGCTGGAAAACCAAGAAAAACAAAATTGTTCAAGTAGTCTGGTTCCCAGACTCCACTAAAGATGAAATGCATCAATTTATAGTTGCCAGAAAATTGTAAGGTAAGGGAACCAGTCTAGCTGGCCTGCACCCGTTCATGAACATGTAACCAATACCAAACAAAATTTGGACTGAAAAAAGGTAAATTTGGAGCAGTAGTTGAAATATAGTTAGGTTTTTCCAACGGTGGTCGGCCGATCACCGTTGGAAATGTATACAAAATACCATTTTCTTGAAAATGACTTGACACCAGGTGCCATAATTTTACAGGAAACTTTAGACTCTCATTTACCAACATCCTATTAAGGTATTTCTTAAAAACTTGGTGGTTTTATTTTTCGATGTTTGCAAATGTTGTATATTTCCTTTAAATAGAGCCCGAAAGCAAAATTTCACCCGGCGAGCTTCCGGGACCCTCGCGTGGCCTGCATATATGTGCATTTCAACATTGGGATGCCTTTCTGGCGTCTGTCATTTTAGGTAGAGCGAGTTTTAACCGTAAAGACCACAAAAAAACATTCATTGTAGAATTTCGGTATTTTTCAAAGTAAACTTGAGAAAACAATTAACTTGGGAGATGGGAACAAACGAATATCATTTTGGCCTACGACCTTTCATATCATGAATTATCGTCCCTATGTCTCCTAACCGGCGATGCATTCTTGTTTTCAATTCGTAATGCGTAAAGATTTACTCACCTAAAGCTGATGTGTTTCAGATTAAGTAGTTTTGGCCTGAGCAGGCCATTATATACGTGCACTCCTAAATGGCTCATTGGAACAAGTGATAAATATGTTTACATTTTTTTATACATATTTGGTCAATTTTTTTCAGACAAAAATGATAACCGTGCAAAGGCATCTTGGTTTTCTATTTCACGTTCAATTTTCACCCGATTACCACCACAATTCTATTATCATCTACGTACACCGATTTAGGAATGCGCTTCTGTGAGTGTCTGCGTGTATTGTGGACTACCATAACCGAGAGATCATGTTTGGCACGAAAATAATCTTACGTGTATAAAGGTAATTTGTCCGTTTCAAAAAGTGTAGTGTAATTTCAAAGACCGTTTTCGGTCTGGAAAAGCAATTGCACATGGTCGATTTCGATTTTCTCGAGAACTCGAAAAGAGTGAAACATTGGAGTCTACAGTTGCTGCGCAGATTCATATCACGATGGACTCCTATCTTAAGCCTTGTAGAGGGCGCTGTGCAACTAATCCATCAGAGCCCAATGAGTGCCCATGATGGTAGCAGACCAGTAAATAAACTTCCATAGACCCCAATGGTAAATGCTCCCACCTCAAAAATTCGGGAAAAATACTCACAACTCTCCAAGGTGCTCGAGACACACATCAAATTAAAGCTTATTTCATCATCTTTCATTTTCTTTTCAATTTTCGGGGGGTCAACTGATGACTTTGAGGAGAAATTTCCATCTGAAGATGATCACCCCTAAAAATAGTCCTGAAGCCCATCGCCATTTTGAAAAACGATGCCTACACTCCATTGCAAAATAGAGCGCTTTTAGGGTCCAAATTACATCAAAATTACACAGAACTGCAAGCTCCCAGTCCTGTGCACGGCTTCCACCCATATTTTTTAAAAACCCTCAAGTTCATGGCCCACAGCATGCTCAAATACCGAAGATTTTGAGGGCATGCAAATCGTGATTTGGCCGGCGCAGGCAATTTCGGACCGATTTACTGGTCTGCACCCTGATGTGCGTGTACTGCTACTTTGTGTGTGCAAACAAAATGGGCACAAACCTGCAGTTTTTTAGTGCAGTAGTGCCTTTGCAAGAGCAACGCGCCTGCGCCTTTCATTGACGTAGCAGTGAGTGGTGACACTTGTGGCTTGTGCGTAATGCGCTCGCCTCTCACCACTGTGGCCCTGGTTCGAATCCCAGCCGCGGACCATACATGCCATAACGTGAGTAGAGTTGTGCGTTGGTTCTCTCCTGTGCAACGAGGGTTGTCTCCGGGCTCTCCAGGTTTTCCAACAGGACATCCAACAGCCATCGGGTCAGTACTGAGTACATTCTGCATATACACAGTACGTCCATTGGCCATGACCCGACGGCTGTTGGATGTCCTACTCAGCATGAATAATCAAGGATTAATCTGATTGGCTGATCGGCTCAAGCACGCAATAACCACGCCACAGCCGGCCATGACAGTGCAGCACTGGACGATTTTTCTGAAGCAGAGCCACCGAAATCATCATTATTTTTCATATTTTAGTAACTTTTGTTCTTTTTGACGTCGACCATTAGCATCGTGAATGACTGAGTGCATGTTATGAGGTATGTTTAATGGAAACTGGGTTTGGATAGAGGGGCAAAGGACCATTTCGTGGAGGCCGTTTTTTAAGGGTCTCTTACGATCTCACTTCTGTCTCCAGCGTTACATGTGAATTCCTGATGAGCTTGTTAAGCTGGAGTTACTCAAGCTAACTATAGGCCACATATACATGAAAAGGCTCAACAAACGTTCTGAATGGGTTGAATGTAATTTTGAGTTTTCTGGGACCAGTTTTGTTGCGTCGTTATCATTTATTAACATATGAGCGAATGAATACAACCCATCATACAGTCAAACACACACAGTGGCAGATTCAGCCTGAGGAAGAAATGGGCGGGGCTTAATTCGCTGATGAAGGGGTGCCGGTGCTGTTCCAGACACCGTTATTCACTCAAGCTAAATCTGCAATTCAAATCTTACGTGGCGAACTAAAATCTGCATGTTGTTTCAAAAGTTACATTAAAAAAATACTTACAAAATAACAATGCAAATCAGAAATAAAATTGAACAAACTAATAGCGTTTACATAATGTAAAAACATTGAATACACCGCAAATTAATTATAACTCCACAGTGACAGCCACCACTTCTAAACAAAAACTGTATTCACGGCAACCAACCACTTTGCGTCTGGGTATACGTTGATTATTTTTGTAAACGTTAACATTAAACTACGAAACTTGTGGGAAAAATCGTGAACTTGCGTCTTTTGTTCATTATGGTGCTGTCACACCAACCAATTTACAGGCAAATTATACCAAGGATATTAATATTGTACCAGTTGCTGTAAGCAACCTAGCTCCGAATGGAGCTAGTACCCCCTAATCATACTGAGGAATTACTGTCAACTGTTTTGCATTAGTCGATTTAGATTGTTATGGATTTTACAATTTGAGACACTGTCCATCATGTCAGTTTTCATCGAAAAAAATCATACCAGGCTTCAAACATGCTGATGTTATTGTGCTTAAAAATAGAACAGACAGAAACGTTTGAGGGTGGGGTTAACTCCGAGAAGAGGCCAGCCTATGTAATACATGTAATTTTTTTTTAACCTGACCGACTAAGTGACTGGATGTCACGTTTGAATCAGACTTTCTAAAGTTTCAACTTGGCCCAAAGTTCAAAGTATGAGATTATCCCGAATTAAACGCCAATATCAGGGCTAAAGCTGGTCCATTGTGCACTGTGCCACTAAAACGGTGAATAACCATATTTAATTGAATATGTGCGCTCTTGGACTATTTTTACTGTAATTGCATTGTCTTGAGTGAGGTTTTACAAGCATCTATACAGTCAGGAAAAAGAGGGAGGGGCTGAATTCGCTTCTGGTGGGGTGCTTGTCTTGTTCCAGGCACAGTTTTTCCACCGAAGCTAACTCTGCAATTCCAATCTTACCTGGTGAATTAATATCTGCAGTTTTGTTGTAGCCATCAATCAAGGATATTGAATTTACATGCGAAACATTAATTACATATACCAATTACAAATCAGTGAAAATACACCTTAAGGAATTGACAGGATACTATAGGTTTCCCAGGTTATTTTAACACTTCTATCACACAAATTCCTTTCATCGATACTTTAATTTCATCCCCGAACATCGCCAAGCTCAATTTTCAATTTGAATTTCAGAAAGCCACCACTAGATTTCATTAAAGGTTCAGTATAATTCAGATTTTTAGCATACCGATTCGTCCGAAATTTGTGAAATTTTTGGCAAGCTCCATACCAGAAACCGGAGACTTTTTTGGGCCTTAGCTGTGATTTTCAAATCTCCTTTCTGTGTTTCACAATTAACATTAGAATCAGGAATAGACCTTTCACAATATGCTCTTTACTTATGACATGGAAATTAAGCATTAAGATCAAACACCTTCGTAATATTGCTCTTTGATAGACAGACCTAACTTCTGTGGTTTTATTCATCAAATAGCAAAATTACGAAGGTGTTTGATCCTTATGCTTAATTTTCATGTTATAAGTAAACAGCATATTGTTCAAGGTTTTTAACTGATTCTAATGATGATTGTGAAACACAGAAAAAGAAGATTCAAACCTTACAGTTATCTACTAAATATATGTTGAAAATAAAATGGTATTAATGCGCACAATTCTTTAAATAGATCCAAAGATTTGGGCACATTTTCTAATCGTTACGTTTTAAGTCACCGGAAATGAAATGTAATGACAACAACATTGAAACGAATGACGGAAAACGAATTTGCTTTTTTTTTTAACTTAACGCCGATTGCTACTCGAAACAATAGTTTGTTATGGGATGACGCAATCCTGGAAGCAGGGTGACGACATCATGACATAATTCATCACAGGGTGCATTGAAGCCATGCCATAATAAATTATATCAGGATATCGTCATCCTATTTTCAGGATGTTGTCGTCCCATAATAAATTATTTCGAGATGTTGTCATCCTACTTTCAGGATGTCGCCATCCCCTAATCAATCATCTCAGGATGTCGTCATGTTGTCTGTATTATGTCGTTATCCTGGGATAAAATAATTTAGTATCTGAACAAGTCGGATGGCACTTCCAGAGCCCCGTAGTTATTTATACATTAAGGGAATATATGTTGAAATTATAATTTATTAATGCGCACAAGTCTTTAATTAAGTCCAAAGATTTTGCACAATTTCTAATTGTAACATTTTGAGTCACCAGAAACGAAATCTAACGACTGCAACAGTAAAACGAATGACAAAAAAACGCATTTGCTTTTTCAATTCAACGCCGATTGCTACACAAGACGAATTTTACAAATTTAGGACGAATTGGTATGCTAAAATTTGTTAATTATACTGAGCCTTAAATGAAATCTAGAGGTGGCTTTTTGAAATTTAAATTAAGAATTAAGCTTGGTAATGTTCGGGGACGAAATTAAAGTATCGATATATATAGGGAATTCGTGTGATACAAGTTTTAATATAACCGGGAAAACCTATATTACAAACATTATTTACAAATATTATAAGCCTACATTCCAAATTAATCATAAACTTTACAGTGGAACCCATTACCTCTAAACAAAAATTATATTGAAAGCAACCACACCACTAGGTGTACTGATGAACATACAAAATAGGCGTCTGGATATTTAGGTAATTTGAGTTAATGTTTTTACATTAAACTAGAAAACTTTAAGAACGAAACCATGAACTAGTTTCTTCCGCAATCCGCTCATTATTGCCCGTACCGAATTAACAGACAACCTAGATCCGAGGTGAGCTGACACCCCGTCATCATGAGGACTTACTATCAGCTGTTCTATCAACTGTTCTTGCGGAATTATTATCAACTGCTCTTGAGAAATTACTTTCAGCTGTTCTTGAGGAATTATTATTGTTAAGAATTCGTAAATACTTTAAAGTTCAAGCAATTCACTTTAAGTAAAATAGGCCAATAGCCCGTGATCGTCCTACGTATAGTCCCCCTTTTGTTGCAACGAACTTTTGGTCCCGCACATGGATTTCGTGCTGAAGTCCAACCACATTCCTGACCAGTGGAATGGCCATTGGAATTTCCTGCTGGACTTAAAGGGAAGATACAACATTTGCAAACATCACAAAACGAAATGATCATGAAATACCTTACTGGATTGTTAGGGAATGACAGTCTAAAGCATCCTGTAAAATCGTGGCTCCTGGTGTGCTATCATTCTCAAGAAAAATGGTATTTTTCCAACGCTGGTCGGCCGACCAGCGTTGGAAAAAACTGGGTTTTTTTCAAAACCTGCTTCTAATTTTTCATAATTAGTTTTTCATTGTTTTCTTTGCAATTGATTGCACACCAGTGAAAGGGTACAAGCCTGCTAGACTGATTCTCTGACCTTACAATTCCCAAAAGTCTATAAATTGCTCCGTTTCATCTTAAGTGGGGTCGGGGAATCAGACTACAAGAACATGATTGGTTTTCTTGGTTTTTCCAACATCTACAAGCCCAAAACGTGAAACAAGTTATTTTAACATTTTTTGCGATAACATAGTAATCCTCATAATCCATTTATTTCTGAAAATTTCAGCAAAAGCAAATGTTGTACATTCCCTTTAAAAGCGCTGGAATTCCTCAAATATTCTTTGCTATCAACTGTTCTTGAGGAATTAATATCAATTGTTTTTTAGATGTGACAATCAACTGTTCTTGAGTAATTACTATCAACTGTTCTTCAGGAAGCACTATTAAGGAGCCCCTTTGCACTGCATTCGGTTGACTCTAAATTGCATGTGAAACCTACACAATCAGGTCTAGTATTCAAAGTTGTATGTCTTTGTGTATGAATCCTGTTCGTCGTTGCCATCGTAGACATTGCTGTTCACCTCCAGCCCACGATGGCGAGGTCCACAACATGTAACACCAGCCCACGCCCCAGCGATGCACGATCCTAAGCGATGCAAGCAGCCATGACGCCATATAGCCTTCACGCCGGTCCAGATCAAGCTAGCTATAGCGATGAAAGCAGATGGAAAGATATCAGTTTTATTGTAACTAGACTTTTGTTATGTAATGTTCTGATTTTATAAAGCTCTTATGACCAAATTTTAATACCAAACAAAGATTCATTGTTTTGTTTTACTCAGAATATTATCGTCAGCTGCAAGATGTAAACAGATCGTTTGGATTCAACAACTAGGTAGATGGAAATAGATTCTTACCAATGACAAATACGATGACACTGAGGTTCATCAGCACAAGAATAACAGAAAGGACATCCTTTCTATTCTGGCTTGATTGAGCATCCTCGCTCGGCAACAGAAGCAGCGACGCAGCCAACAGGTTCAGGAAGATGGTACCAAGCGAGCACATCTGCAGACGATGCTCGGCAGCAACCTTCATGGGTTTGACGTAAGCATGCAGGAGCAGAAAGCCCACCGATATGACTATGGTGGCGAACATGGTGAAGTGATCGTCGGGCCCGTATAACAGCACAAACAGCGTCTGGACAATCTTACGCGCCAGCTCCAGAATCTCCCAGTACCAGAACCTTGGCTTGTAATTCTCACACAGGAAACTCTCCCAATTGAATTCAGCCTGACTTGGCGGCCCCGTTTGTATGATTTCATCGTCTGTCTCATCAGGCACCTCGTTTCTGTAACTGGCGACAGAACCGGCATTCAAACGACATCGACTAGCAGTATGGAGCAAATACTGATCCTCACTTTCCTGTCTACCACCGACAGCCCCGGTCTTCTTCCGTTTTCTGATGTTCCACCACAAGAGGAGAAACAACACCAAGGGAAACCCAACAACGTAGAAGAGGAAGACCTCAGCTGCGTAGTTGAATTGAACATGCTGCTCTGTTTGGCAATCGATCGAGTAATCAGCTCGAAGTCTGGTCACATTGAGGGTGTTGTTTTCGTCCACGTAAAAGACGTGACACCCAGAGGGCAATAACGTGATGATAACACTAGACAGGCTGGGATAGGAAATAAAGAGCAGTATCACCACAAACAAGTAACACCTCTGCTTGGTCTGCGATAGAAGAGCCGTTTGTTTCACAAAAGATGTTTTCTTTGCTTTCAGGTAACACATCTTAGATTTGTAAAAACACCAGGCTGCAAGCGGAACGAACACCACAAAACTAATGCCGGCCAAGAACTCAATGTAAATGTTAGGATAAGTGAAGTTGGGAACATAACATCTTGGACTGATAAACAACCGCATGATGTTCACCTCCAACAGTCTAAAGACAGAGCCAACGCTCGTTAATATATTCGGCCAGGCAATTTCATCCAGCGCTGAGAATATCTCCCCCATGACCTGGTAGAAACCCAGTAGGATCTTCCCTCGAGCAAGCAGCATGCTGACGGCAGACCGACCGCTTCTTCTGACCTTTCGCACCTGCCAAGCTATGATGATGACAATCAGAGCAATGGCCATGCATACAGCAATGACTTCAAGCAGGAACCACCACCATTTGGGACACTCGAAGCAGTGATCGAACCATGGGTAATAGTAAAGACTGCATTGGGAGCAAAGCCAACCCGTGTAGCCTTCCTCGCATGTTGCGTTGATACCGCCCAGCACAGCATTCACGCACGACTCACTGCGAGTACATTTATGCACTTTGGGTAACACGCCCCCAAACCGCTTGCTTGTGTTGTCATAGTCGAGATCTTCAGTGCGCACATTTTGGACAAATCGCTCGTAGGATAGGTAGTTATCATCCGATAAACCCCAGTCCCAGGTCCACCAGAAGCCAGGCAGTAGGTGTTGATATTCATCTGAGCAGTTGACTCCTTCAGTCGGACATGGATTGCATTCACCGAAGCGGTCAGTACGGTAGTAGTCATGCAGACACGGACAGGCTCGGAAGCCAGCGTGAAGGTTCTTATTGGTACCCGTAGGACACACCGTGCAATTCGCAGGACTGGTACCAGGGTGCGCCTCAGGCGTTACGTAGGTGCCATTGTTGCATCTCTGACAGTTGATACTTTGAGAGGGGTCAGCCACTTGCCCCGTCTTGATTTGGTAAAAGCCCCCTGTATTGCAAGGAGAAAACAAAAATCCGAGACAAACTTGGTTTAACATAATTATGACAAACTCATCTTTGGTCGGACATTTTACACAATCATGTAGCATACACCAAATGGAAAAGGGAAAACAGACAGACAACCCAAATATTGCCGCCAAACTTCAACTCCCCGCCTTTCAATCCATCTTCAAACACAATTGACTGCAACGATTTTCAATTTTCTCCCATGATGGCTAATAAGAAACACGTCATGATCAGAAACTTTGCAGTCACCTTCACTCCATGAATTAATCGAAGCTTTAGATTTACACTTGTCCTTGGAATTGGCTGTTTTACCTGGAGGGCATGCAGTACAGCTGTTGTTATACCAGGAGTTTCCGTATGTGCCCTGTGGGCAGGGCTTACAATCCCAATCCACAGTCTTGGGCTTGTCACACTTAAATCCCGAAATGCTTAATATGTCGGCCAGATCACGCGTCACATTTATTGACTGGGCGAATCCGTCACCAACTAATTCGCTGAAAAAGTAATGGCACAATAACAACATAATTATTAATCATCATCGTCAGTTTCTTAGTCATAACGTCACCAGCCTTGCTTCACTTTAGTGAGGTGACCTGCTACCTTATGGCACGAGCTTGTCAGCTCACTTGGCACGGATTTGACACGGGGTGAGACGTGTCAACCTTTTATTAAGGAATCCGAGTAGTGAACATCATTTTATGTAGCATAACCCATAGAGCTCAAGTCACATATGCCCATGTACTGTAGCTAGCTAAGGCAGTCGTATTACGCTCGAATCCTAATTATTTTGACACTCATTGTCGGCAAATCAGATCGATTCTCTGGGTAGATTTCGTGACGCTTTCCAACGCAATAATTACGGGGTTAATTTTGATTGTCAATGGATATGGTGCTACCACCAAACGTCTAGAGAAAAAAAACACGAAGGGTGACGGAGAGGGCTATGGAAAGAATAATGATAGGAGGAACAAAGAAGGACAGGGTGACAGGCGTATATTCTGTGTCACGAACAGCACGTTCTGTATGTACAAGCATGCATGAATAGAATGTGCAAACATGGCGGCCCGCATAGCGAACCCCAAATGGTGAGACCGCACAACCATATTCATTTCTCATCAACCCAGTATTATTACTGTCTCTCTCTCTCTCTCTCTCCCCCCCCCCCCCCCCCCCAACGCTCCCTTTCTTCCGTTGAGGGGGAAACCTGTGCGCAGAGCCCATACTAAAAGTTTGGGAGGGTACCGTGTTATGACCTACGCGAGTAATACCTTTACTATAATGCGATGGTCAGTGTGTGAGAAAGGATAACCACTGTGTGAGGGGATCCATTTGCGCGCTTATGCCACGGGGCAAGTACGGTAGGTACTCATTGTTCTAAAGACAGCATGACTCAAATGCAGCATTCACTCAAAGTGGTTTATCAATAGCCCGTAATCACATCGTACAATAGAGATACGTTGGCCGCATAATGACACTCCATAACATGCCCTTCCTTAAGATAAGGAGCAGTCGGTGCTAAATTTTGCTTGCTGAACTATCACATGAGACTGGGTGTAAACAGTGGTGATCAGTAATACTAATCTTTTAGAAACAATTCAGCAAAGAATATGAACGCTTTAACACTAGAACGTATTTGGAACAGCTTTAAATCTTTAACACAGCTTAGTAACAATTTAAGCTTAAGACGACCTGAGTAACAACAACAACTTTAACAATTAAACTGCAAGAGTGATCTTTCTATACTAAGTGATGACCTATGGTCTTAAGGATTTAAATCCCGGTACATACCGTTATTTCGTTTTACCGTTTTAAATTTTCTCAAAAACAAACGCAGCCAACGAACCATTGACTGTTTTGTCGTTTTACAGTTTTGTTAAACGGTCAAACGGTATTAAGTCACAAAAAACAATGACCTTTTTGTTAATTTTTTTTTAATTGTAAAAAGCGATAAACGGTTAGTTGCTTTATTTTTAGAGTGTTGTTTTTAATACAAAAACATGACAATGACAAAACGGTCAATAGTCTTATCGACCTTTTTTTGATTCAGGTTTGGCAATTAAGCAATACACCTTGAAATGTTAATGTGTCCTTGTGATCGATTCCCTGCGTTTCTCCTGAGCCGTAGACTAGGATGTCATCTGCGATCACTGCGATGTTTTCCAGGCCTTTTAGGCACTCAAGGAGCCTGCGCTGGAATTCTTCTGGTGCAAATGAGATGCCGAAGGGTATCCTCAACTAACGGTAGCGCCTGTAAGGCGTCCAAGCTTGGTGTGTCCACTAAAGTGGAACAGTAGGGCTGCAGTCTCAATAGAGGGAGGACCCAGGTATGTTGAGACCCATTAGTCCTAGGTGATAGCAGAGGACCTAGGGTATAGGAGACCCATTAGTCCTAGGTAATAGCAAAGAACCTAGGGTATAGGAGACCCATCAGTCTGGAGGAGTGGGAGCCAGATGTCGTTGAGGTGAAATCCGATGTCTTGTGTTGTGCTTGTACTGTGTAGTGCTTGCGGTTCTCGATGGCTTCTCGTATGCGTCTTGGGTGCAAGAACTGGATTGGGGCGATGAGTTCAGCCGCATCCCAATTAACTTTTTGCTCTTGATGCGGGAATGTGTGACAATGGCCCATTCGTCAAAATCTACTCGTCGTCCATGTGCTCTGTGTTCCATGAGCCTAGTGGGAAGGTTCCGACAAGTTTCCCAGATGTAGACTTAGCCGCATTCACATGGAATGCGGTAAACTCCCGGCTTGGGGGAGGAGTGCTGCTTGTCCTTGTGAGTGTGGAGGGTACCTTGGAGCTTGTTACCAGATGAGTGGTACACCTTGACACCGGCCTGTCGGAGGGTTCGTTGGAGATGATGAGAAGCTGGACCTATGTACGGAAGAGTGACTGCGTGCATTGTACAGGGTGAGTAAAAAAACCCGAAACCCAAATGTCGGGACTATTGTTTTAGTGAAGTTCTTCATGTAACACTTTCAAAATCTAGGATATGAAAGCCCAATTCTTGAGCTTTCTTTCAGTACAAGAATCATTCAAATCACTCGTGTAGTTTTTACGTTACGGAATTTTAAACAGAACCACCGTTTTAAAGTTATGTCCACGGATCACACACAAGGTGTGCGTTGTTTCAGCAAAACGAAAACCATTCACACACATCCCTATGTGATTTGTTTTCGTTTTGCTGAAAGAACACTTACCTTTTCGTGATCCACGGACAGAACTTTAAAACAGTGGTTTTGTTTAAAACTTGAAAATTACATGAGTGATTTGCATGATTCTTGTACTAAAAAATGCTTATTAATCGGGGTTTCATATCCTAGATTTTGAACGTGCTACATGCAGAACTTCACTAAAACAATGGTCTGAACATTTGGGTTTCGTTTTTTTTTTTTACTTACCCTGTATACATGTATGTACAGTTGTTCACAGCGTAAAGCACGTTGTCAATGGCGGAAACTCTGCGTGGAAATGTACAGTTTTATGGTTCGCTGACACAGCCTACCGTGAGTGACAGGATTAGTCTGTACTGCCGACGGATGTCTGGTGATCCGTTCTCAAAGATTGCCGAAGATTTTGCCGGTTCTTTGCGGTAATAGCGCTGGATTCATCTAATTTCTGACACCACGTTCTAAAGGATTACACCTCGGTAGTTCGAAGGTTCGATAATCCGAAGGTTCTTTATTCTGAGGGGTCATTAGTCCGAAGGTTCGTTCGTCCGAAGGTTCAATAGTCCACGGGTTCGATAGTCCGAAGGACCCATTAGTCCGAAAACAGAAGAAGGTTAAATAGTCCGAAAGTTCAAAAGTCCAAATAGACGATAGGGTTCGATAGTTCGAATGGACAATAAGGTTCGATAGTCCAAATCGGACAATAGGACCTTATTGTCGATTCGGACTACCGGACCTTATTGTCGATTCGCACTATCGGACCTATTTTCAATTCGGAATAATGAACCTTCGGACTAGCAAACCTTCTTTTAATTTTGGACAATTGAACCTTCGGACTAATTAACCTTAGGACTAATGAACCTTTGGACTATTGCATCAAATGTTCAGATTAACAAACCTTATTATATTTTCGGAGTAACGATCGACCCCCCTCTTGTGAGAATTTTGGGCCTTCGGACTATCGAACCTTCGGACTATCGGGCGGACCCCAGGCGGACACCCGTATTAAAGACGGCAGGACTCAGTAAAGCATTCACTGAAAGTGGTATATAACCTGTAATCACATCATACAATAGGGATACGGTGGCCGCATAATGCCACTCCATAACACTCATCAAGACCAAGTTTCAAACTGAAAGGCGAACACATACAGCCCCAAGTGTGTTCGCTGAGTGTGGGCATTCAACGGCAGTGACACCCAATTATTGTCCATCTCCGTCTCACTTTGGACGGTGGACGGGGACTTCCGCATAGAGGCAGCACCTGTTATGAATTAGGCTACATGTTAATAGAAAATGTGCGTTACATCAAAACACCAGTCTATCCCACTCGTTGTGCTGCATTGAGTCCCGCTACCAAATATCCAGGTTATAATAGTCAGATAATTTCACACTACCATACACCGTCATATCGATACTCACATTTTGAGGTCAGTTCTGTTTGTGACTGGTGCGAACTCCAAAATGTTCTCGATTGCTCTGAAGAAGAAAAACAGGAATACGATCTTTGATACTTTTACAATGGCAGGTAAGTCATTAACGACAGGTCAAGCCAGGTCTGTCCAGGTCACGTTAAGTAAGGTCATGATAGATCAGCTTAGAAACGATTGCAGTGTTGATCAAAGACATTTGAATAAAACGACTTTCTACAGATCACTCGTTTCGCCTTATTCGTGGTTCTATTCCGAGCAAGTGTAGTAACCGTTCATGCCCATTCAAATCCAGATGACCTTTGACCTCGAATATCTAAAGGAACGGCATCACCCCTACCGATCCCCGAGGCATCACTCCATCCACGTATACAAAATTCGGTCAAGTTAAAAAGACAGACAAATGACCTTTGACCTCAAAGGTCCAAAAAAGAATTGTGACTCCCACCCAAGGCTCACGCATTTCAGTTTCAAACCCATTGAAGCATGTTCACAGTTGTAGACCCCCCCCCCCCCGACAAAAAAAACCTAAACGGTTTATGAATTATTGGCAAAATCATTACAGACCTCAGTTGACTTGTTACCTTTGGCTTTTGACCTGAAATATATTGCATTTTGCTACTTAATTACCCTTTTGTCCCAGTTTTATGGAATTCAGGCGGACACTTAGGAAATAAAAAAACAGCAATTTAAAACCATTGTTCACACATTCATGGACATATAAGGGAATACCTGCATACAGAATGACTGGAAAGTGTCCCATCAGTACATCGTTTTTGCGACGTAAAAGCATCTATATTCATTTATATTTTCATCGTTTTGAAGCTTTCCGATTTCTTGTCCACCTAGGGAGTCTATAGTTCAAACGGATTTATATTAAAGATAGTTTAGGAAGGAGTAAGACATTCCAAACTTGCCTTTTCCTAAGCAAAAACATGACTTACACGTAACAGTGGTTATCCAGGTCTTGCCAGACAGCATCCGAAATCATCCTCAAGCGACTGCCGTACAATGATCTGAAATACCAAAGTAGTTCTCCAATTTAATGCTTTTCTGATAAGGCAATATCTCATAAATATTTATCTGCCCAATTGACACTGTAAGGTTGGAAGGCTGGAGCTGTAATACTCACACATATTGGAGAGTGTGGTTCATGGTCGCAAATGGCCGCTCCCCTATCGACGACAGTTCGGTCTGGAATATGTACCTAATATTCAAATATAGTCAAGAAAATTAACCCTCGTATAATGTAGTATATTACAAAAGCACTACTGGTTATAATGGGAACCGTGATGACAGGATTAATAATGAAGGTGAATTAAGCTTGTCTTTGTTTGTGCATTCCTGTGTTTATAATCAATTGTCTCTTTTAGATTATTATCCCAAATCATTGCTCAAACAGTTCGTCGACACTCTATTCATTACACCACATCATGCTGACGATGTTCAGCTATTCTAGACCGTTGACCCAACTCGGCCAGGAGATGTTGTCTATGCTCTGTTTCAATTATCTCAGTGTGTCAAAGAACTTCAATCTTGGATGATCTCTCATAAACTCTGGATGAATCCTGATAAGACAACTGCGTCTTCTCCCGCTCACTTCTGAAACGTCTCCAACACTACACTTTTAAGCTGCATGGTTTTGAAATTCATCCTCCACCTCGGTCAGAAACTATGTCAGTTTTTTCCATGACAATAAGAAATGTCTGATCACATCACTTAACTTTGTTGCTCCCTTAATTAACTGATATATCCGTAACCTTAGTCGGAACAGGAAATTTCTTGACCTAAATGCTTGCCACAATGTTGCCCGTGCCCTGATATTGTCGAAGGTGGACTATAATTGCTTGTTGTTAAACGGTGTCTTTAACAAAGACAAGGCAATGCAATATCTTTCAGACGCCAAAACGCATCCATACCTCTCCTCTGCTCAAACAATTACAGTTTCGCTCATTGCTTCACACTTACGAATCACTGAAACACTCTGCACAATTATATCGCCTGTCTTCTCACAATTCAGACCCGTCCTTACTGCTCCCCTTTTTCTGCTGGAAGAGTCCCTTGTCATCCACAATCACGTTAACATATATTCTGGTGACAGGGGCTTCTCCATTGAAATAGCCTACCCATCCCCGTCAAAAATTTTGGCAGTGTTTTGTCTTTCAAAAAGACTCTTAAGACCAACCTTTTCCCAGATCATGGCTGGCAGTCCTCTTTTTTTGTCTTCTCTCCCTGTTCCATTCTTTGTTTAGCGCCTTGTATCCTTTGACAATTTGGCGCTCTAATTATAGTAATATTTCAAAGCTTTGCTTTGATCCAACGAATGCAGACGTTTAGACTACCAATGTATATATACTCACAGATTTGCCAGTTGAGTCTCGTAAAACAGCCAGTCCACTAATGCAGTGAGTGGGTTGTCAAATATCATCCTAAAATGGTAATTATTGGAATTAAAATACTCAAAATTGGTCAAATCGGAGTTTTTCAGGTTTCAAGTTTTAGTTTAAAACAGTGTGATACGATTAAGGTTGTACTATATGTTAACACATCTTGATAGAACTTCACCATTCACACATACAAATAAGGAGAGATATGACAGGTTGCTTTGCGAAATGGATGTCTACGCAAAACAAGCTAGAATACGAAAATACAATCGGTTGCGATGAAGTCAACACAATCGACTTCAGTTGAGAAAGTATAGAAAGTTAAAACAATGCTCAGCGATAATCTTTGAAAAGCGCCATGAGATTAGGCCTTGGTTTGGATCCCGTTCCTCCTTCAAGTGTATCGTTTGGATAAAATAGGTTTTGTCGGCCAATTTCCTGAAATGTTCATCCCCTTTTGAAAATCGATCATTTTTTTTCGTCTAAATTTGAATGCACGTCTTTAATCCCATTTCAATTCGACGACAGTTCAATCGTTTTCATTGTCCGTGCATTCGGTTTTGAGAAACAGACGGCCAATTACGTTACCTGTGCATTCATATTCGCAAGCATACATTTTCTAAATTGCTTTCAGGTACAGCTAATTTGATTGACGGTTCGGTTAATGAAAAAGAAACCCCTTATTGTATCTGGTGCTGATGACATTAAGCTAGAGGTGAAATAGAATGGTAAATGCTTGAAATCGCCCTCTTAAAAGCGAAAAAGAAGTCTTGTAAAAAAATCTGAATGGACATAAACGAAAGTGCTGCTCAATCACTTCATTGATTGAACTGAAATGGAATCGAATGCTCATAGCGAAAATGAAACGCGTGTTCAGAGCGATTCTCAATTTCAGACGAAAATGAATTACCAATTTTCAGAAGTGAATGAACATTTTTGAAAATTGGCAGGGAAACCTATAATTGAAAGGAAAGAGACAGTCCGACAATGTTAGTGTACGCGTCTTGCAATGATTGTCTAGTAAGAACTGGATCATTCATGTTAAGACAAAAACGGCTTCACCCGACTGTGGAAAACAAATTGTCACTGGGGCAGATAGACAGCCCTTGCCCGTGTGCGTTATGACAATCGTGAGCCAGTCGCCAAGGCAACGAGTCAATCACAGTGACGTCACGGCATACGGCGACGTATAGTTTGGTATCAATTTGAAGGACGAACTCGACTCACAGTTCTTCTAGAGAGCGAAGTCCTGCAAACACCTTATCATGCAGGACACTGATTTTGTTCCGCTGTAAGTAGATATGTCGAAGACCAGTCTGCGACCGGAAAAGTCCAGTTGGAATAGAAGTCAGTCGATTGGACGACAAATCCCTAAAAATAAACGTAAATAACTAAATTTGGAAACAGTCGTCAGCGTTACAAACTGGTCCCTACTCTAAATCATGGAGAACATTCTATAATGGATTGAGCATTTTTTTTTGGGGGGGGGGGTACTATTACACAGGCAAAATATTAAAAGAATCGTCCTTATACGTTATACTTAATTTTCGTCATAATCGGATCCGGTGAAATTGGATGCAAAAAAAATTAAAATCATACATGTTTGATTTCATCCGGTCGCCTGGTATACGGTTATATCGGGCCGAATTTTCAGCTCACACCTCTGTACAATGGCCTGATGATCTGGTGAACCGGTAAAATTGGAAAGGCGTGCGCCGAGCTTTAACTACAGCACTATAGACTCGATGTCACCGGGAGCGACGGCCAGAATGAAGAGAGTGAACTCGTACCACGTGGTCTCTTATATACCCACGCGTCAGACAGACAGAGGGCGCTAGCCAAGCTTGCACTCTATGTACAAGGCATCAGGCTAGTAGACAATTAACATTATTATAGGATATACACTGTGATTAAAATAGGGCGCCCTAATCTAAGCCCACCCCAAATTTCGCTACAATATGTAGAAAACAAAGCATTATCAGAGATGATGGTCTTCATAAAGTTTTCTTTTAGCTGTTTTACTTACAGAGAATTTATTGTTGTGTTGTGAAACGTATCCTCTGGCAGGCCTGCAGAATCGATTTTGTTGTTGGAAAGTCGACTGAAATGGAGGATCAAAGATTGCAAATAAGTACGTATTTGCAATATTATTTTTTTTGCTCGTGGCTTAGGTGTGATTGATTGTTTTTTGTGTGTTTTACATGTTTGACTCTGTCTTATGGATCCCCAGTGGCAATAAGCCTTGGTGATTGTTCCAAACGAAATCAACCGTTCCTTGTTTCTTTTTCTTTGCACTGAAGTATGTTGATGTTGATTTAATCGGAATACAATTGAAATGAATTTGAAGTTTGAACCGTGTTTTTGGTATGCCAGAGAAGACAAACAACTCTTTTCAAAAAACAAAATCTGACAGTAAAATTAGGTTACGTCTTGATTTAAATGATTAAAATCTCATCTGTATTTGAATGGTTGTACGTAATCTGTAATTCTCACTTTGCTCAGTAGTTTCAAATGACATTCCATGGACAGCTATATAACAATAGGTACTTTTAGTAAAATATACATAACTTCTGATAGCATGGATCAATTTGAGTATTTTTTTTTATTCAAAGGAGTGGGAATAACATGCTCTGTTCAGACATACTTCATCTGTGTATCAATTTTAAATGTTTTTTTTAGGGGGGAAAAACAAATTAATCCGAGTCACTTCCTTTTTGACTCACACTATTGACACTTTTGTATCCGCCCATCTTAAAGAAGAAAAAGAACACTGAGATTCACTTACAGTGTTCCGATTTCTGTCGAATTTTCAAACATGTTGCTCGGGAGAAAAGTCAGCTCGTTTTTTTTCAAGTATCTGAAAATATTGATGGAAAGAGACAAAATGACGAATCACAAACGCTGGCAGTAGCATGATTGGCTGTTTTTACTTTATTTCGAAAGCTTTTGTCAAATTAGAATGGACTTGATCAGGTGATTAGTGATTAAAAAAATCTGACAACTGAGTTAGAACAAAGGGGAGACGTCATTCAGTTTTGTAATCAAAAGAAGTGCGATGCATCTTTCATATAATGTCGCTCTTGTGTAAACAAATAAAATACTTACAGCTCTGTGACACTTTTTACTCCATGAAACGCACCCGGATAGATCCGCTGTAGTTTGTTTTCGCTGAAAGAACTTTAAAACGTTCAAAAGAAATATTGAATGAACAACTTATCAAATTGCTGCAAACAATTTAAAGGGCCTTCTACTGAAATTCAAAACACACTAATCTCCCTTATGTTTATTCGCTTTTTCTAGGTAGGCCTATATGGCGGACACAATAGGAGGGGCGATATTTGCAATCGGTAAATGAAGGTTAATTCAATTAACAATTGTTGACTGCTATGATGTGGGTTATGATGTTTTGAACACCCGAGGGGCGCAGCCGGCATAGCACCCGATGGTGCTATGCGTCATATCCCACATCACAGCAGTCAACAATTGTTTTGTTATACCTCTGTCTTGGATTCTTTGGACTTTGAATACACGAAAACAAACAGCAGTAAACACAACAATCATGACAATCGAACGTCAATTCACAAGCATGTCGCGTATAGTGCCCGAAACAGCTGATCGTCTGCTAGTTCGCTGCTCCCACTCATGTGTGAAATAATGGTGAAAATAGCGTGGGTACCAACGGTACAAGCGTTTCACCCCGTACGTACCGTACGTACAAAATCAAAGCACACTCCTGGCCTGTGGGATATCATTTACGTGATATCCCACAGAGAGTGTGCCATGACTTTTTATAAACTTAACACGTGATCGTTCTAGGCCAATGAAAATACAGTATTCAAGACAGAAGTCTAACAAAAGCGTTTGACGTACCCCGTCAATCTATAGCGCCCTCCCATTGTGTCCACATAATTATGTTATCGAAATATGAGGTGAAAAGTCACGAAATTATGAGCTTAAGTCCGACCTTATGTAAGTGACATATTTATTTATCTAGATTCTGGAGAAAAAGAGTTTTCCCGTGGTATAATGTGTAGGGGTAGTGAGTTCAGTAATGGAAATATATACCATCAGCTTTCTTGAAGTACGTAGTAAAACTAATTCTTGAGGAAATGACATTTTATAATCCTGTTAGCCTACTTGTGGTACACTGAAATAAAATGAACAGTAAAGTAATAAAATGGGAAGGAAATAGGTTTTACGGATGTTTGACAGAACCCCAAAAATGGAGAAACTAAGGTAAAAGAAGACTTACAGGGGAAAAAAACCTTTCACCTGGGGGAAAAATCCCTTCAATTGTTGGCTTTGCCCCGTTGTACTGCAAAATGGCAATTTCCAACTTTAAGCTCATTTCGTTGCGACAGGTCACATTAAGTTTCAATAACGCACGTCTGCCATGGATTACCCGGGAGGGGGGGGGGGGTATACAAAAGGCTAGGGATAATCAAATGCCACTTCCACATGTGTTACTAAGCTTAACTTCAACACTGCTTTTATATCAAAGGGCAGCTGAATTTTCTGTTACATTACTTTGTAATGAATCTTTCTTCTGTAAGTCACGTCGGTCTTTTTCATACCACTACTTACAGAGCGTTCATGCGTTTGTAAGAAATATGCTCTTTCGTCGAATCTAGAAACACACCAGGTTGAATTTCCTCCACGTGACACCCAGTAAGTATTCTGAATAATACACAACAGAAACTTATGTCAACAATTCTTAAAAAGGCACTCATAAGGATCGAGGGGTGCGTACGGGGAGGGGGCTTGCCCCTCCCTCCCCCCAAAAAGGGGGAGGAAAACAAAAAAGAAAAGAAATAAGAGGTGCGAAGCCATATTGCTGTTAATTTGATGGGGGGTAGGGCAAATGCTCCCCTGCCAGGCGCGTACGCAGGGGGGGTGTTTTGGCTGTTAAACACCCCCCTTTGCCATGTAAAAATATGAGGGGAAAAGAGAGTTATGTGACCGAGCGCGGAACAATTACAAATTATGTGCATGTTCTCAACTTTAAGCTTTGAATACAGAAGACACTTAAGAGCAAGAGTATATAGGCCAATATGTATTTGAAACAAATGAAACAAAATATCCCCTTATAATTTAAAAAACTTCTGCTAAAAAAAACAGGGGAAAGTGGCCAGGAAACGCCTCAGATTGCACCACAGATCATCTACGATCCAAAATTTCCCGGGGCCCTTAAGCGGGCCCCGGACCCCACGCCGTAAGTGCTTCGCGCTCCGCGCTCGCATTGGTCCTCCGGCCAAATTAATCACGGGACATACCGTTATTTCGTTTTACTGTTTTGGATTTCCTCAAAAACAAAAACAGTAAACGAACCATTGACCGTTTTCTCGTTTTACAGTTTTGTAAAACGGTCAAACGGTATTAAGTCACACACACAAAATACTTTTTGTTGTTGTTTTTAATTGTAGAAAGCGATAAACGGTTAGTTGCTTTATTTTTAGAGTGTTGTTTTACAAAATCATGACAATGACAAAACGGTCAATAGTCTTACCGACCATTTTTTGATTTTAGGTTCGGCAATTAAGCAATGCACCGGAATGTTAATTAATGCGCCCTTGGGATCGACTCATTGCCTGGGCCCCGCTCCTTACATTTCGTTCTCACGACAAAATTTGCGAATTGGCTATTGAAGAGCCGCGTCGACTTGAACCCCAGTTTCCTTCAAAATGTCTGCAACTTCATCAAACGTCTTATTACCATCCTGTTTCCATTGTGAAAAGTAATGTCCTCCCTTGAAGTTTTCTAGCGCCATATTGCTTGGAACTCTTTAAGCCCCACCAACTTGACTGAATCGCATGAGAAAGGGGTCAGGGTCCGCGCCAGGAATCACATCACGCATTAATTATGCTGAGGTAACACTTCTTCGTGTAAAACATGTAATGGTCCCCCTCCACCCCCTTGCCCACCGCCACAAAATGCACCACGGACTGTTAACCATGACACTGGAATAAAAAAAAAGTCTGTATTTGTGTAATCTGTAAAACAAAAATCATTGATCGTTATGCTATAATGAATTTTACTAAACTTATAAAACGGAGAAACCGTATTTATCTTAATACCGCTTGTCGTCTTATAACACTATAAAACGACAAAACGGTCGATGATTCGTTTACTGTTTTTGTTTTTGAGGAAATCCAAAACGGTAAAACGAAATAACGGTATGTCCCGGGATTCAAATTCCCTCTATGCTATAATTTCACCCTAGCGGTGCCCCCACCATTTTGTACCTTAAGTGGCATAAATCCCTTTCCAAAATAGAAAATTGTGAAAAAATACGGAGATGGAACATGGTTCTCAACTTTGAGTACGTAACAAACTTTATAAACAACAAAAAAAACATAACAAATTTAAATGGAATTTTCGATGTTTAAAACGTTTTCTAAACGGTGGAAGTGGCCAGGAATCGCCTCAGATTGCACCACAGAGCATCTAAAATCCCATTTTTTCCCGGGGCCCTTAAGCGGGCCCCGGACCCCACGCCGTAAGGGCTTCGCAGGTCCTGGACCCTTCATTACAATAATTCTAGGCCCCCCGGCAAATGGCAGTCTGAATCCGCTCCTGTGACCAGAGCGCATATGTATCCTGTATCTGAAGTTTGGCCTTAGGGGTGGGGGCGGTTTACACAAAGATTCCCAACGGATGAGAATCATGAGATCCAGGGGACGAAGCTGAGTGATTTTAGACAATAACAAGAACAGATCCTAGCACTTCCGCAGCCCGTGTCACTTTTTTTCTTGAATTTCTTCTTTTTTTTGGTTTAAATGCTGTTGAGGGAGGGGACTGCCCACATTGACCCCTTTACTCATATGTTCATCATACTCTTAAGACACAGAACACTTTTTTTCCCGATTTACTATGCTTTAGCTCAAAAAGATAACTGATGGTCGTGGGTTCCCGGCCCTTCGAGTTTAACCCGTCCAAATATACCCTCTTTTATTTCTGGCGCCAACATAAACTCCTGACTTTTATTTAAGCGTAAAGTTTAGCCCACTGATACTATTTTTTATTTCTGGCGCCAACACAATTTACCATCTTCATTTCTAGCGTCATAAATGACGACATCCAATTTTGAAACACCCCCCTTGAAAAAATCCTGCGTACGCCACTGTCCCCTGCCCACGCTCAGAAAATGAAAAATGGAGAATTTGTTTAAAAAGCGAAGAATTTTGAAATCCTGGCGACGACCATGCCATTGATAATTAATTGATCACCAATTTTTATTTTCACTGGACATGTACCCCTATATTAACCTTGTATGCTGATGCCCCTCTTCATGCATCTGATGTAGTAGCCACGAACGCTTATGCAAACTTTCAATCTACTGTTAGTCAGCGCTAGTTTACTTTTTTATTTGATTGTGTCATATTGAAGTTCACTTTTACGATTCGAAATAATTTTTCTTTTGAAAACACATCACCGTAATGTTCCATCAAGAGTCACTGGATCAATGCTTACAAAACAATCAGCTTGGGGATTCTCCCAAAGGTATGTGGCCGCAACACCTTCAAGTGACAAAATTCCATCCATCTGTTTAAACGAAATTAAAAACGAAAGAAGATGCACCAAAACTCTTGTTCAGTAAATAAGCCACTATACATAAGTGAAAAGAAAATATAAAATTTACTACGAATGTTTAGGTGTGTTTACTGATAAGACCTATAACTTCGGGTTTGATGGCGTCACAGCATTAGGTAGCCCAATGTCAATATTGTACTTGATATCATGTGGGCCTTGAACATCGACACAAGGATACGGATTAAATGGTGACTTTAATTTCAAAAAAGACAATTGATCAGTTTCATATTCTCCCCTTGAAACCTCGCAAAGTCGTTTGCCCAAATCCTAAAATAGTATCTATGGGCAATTGAGTAAAATTTTGGCGAATCGTTTTAGATTCAAAAAAGTTCAATTTTCTTTGACGTGCCGCTCGGGAGCGTCATTTCGGATGATGACGTCATAATATCGTTGTTTGTGCTTGCCATCCCTCACTAAACATTTTATAATTTGTTTGTAGTAAAATGCTTCTGTTTTTACGTTACATTCGATTCTCATTGCATTTCCCGTAACATCGAAACTAAAAGTCAATTGTCTGTGAGCTCGGGGATCCAAACTGATACCCTAAGCAATGTCCCACACAATGCGAAGAAAACTTGCTGATCAGAAAAAAAAAGGAAATGCGGAAAGAAATAAAGATGTATTATAAGAATTATGAAATGGTGATCGGGTTGTCAACCAAAAGGGAAACCGTAGATGTTTGTACTTACAAGTCCAAGACTTGTAATCCTTCTGTGTTGTCTGGTCCTAGTTCTTCAAACTTGGTCATAGACATACGCCTAAAAATTAAAATCGGAGACAGGTCAACATCCACTCAGCAAGTGGCGAGAAATTAATCTTTCTGCCTAATAGCTTAACTGATATTTAGGATAAAAAACTAATGGTCGACTAACTAATATGATTCTAATATCGCTATCTTGCACTCTTCAGTCTGTTCTATAATACTCTTATTTCTGTCAAGATTGGAATAATTGAAAAAAGCCCAAAATAGTTGATTGTAATCTTACACACAATATTGATTTCAAATGGATGCGAACCCCTCAATTAAAGTATGGGATTTATCCTCCTTTCGGACTGAGGCGCTTGTATGTTGAAAATTCTAGCTCACAGTAGTAGGAAATAAAATGCCCTAGCATCCAAATCTTTTCAGTGCAAAAGCGAAATGTTTACACCACACCACACCACACCCCACCCACACACACCCATACTTGTTTCACATGACTAGTGTGGACTTTCCATTGCTTTCGTGTAGTTAAGAAAAACCAGTGAAAAAACTCATTTTTCTCAAACTGTGAAAACTCTTTCAACCCAATTTTTTTTCTATGATTCCCTTTAGTGTTTCTCTTCATTCTGCTACAGATAAACCTAACCCAAAAATGCCTCTAAACCTGTTTTCCAGAAATGGGGAAACACTGTGTGGACGTGGGGTAAGTCCACACAACGTCGGTGCTACCTACATTATGTGGACGTCTTTTGTTCGGAAGTCCACACTGCGTATGTAAGACAAACTCACCACACCACGAAAAAACACCCACGCTTACATAGGCATAGGAGTGGGGTACTTCCTTTGTTCTCGTGTACTAAAATTTTGCAACATTGCACACTTATGTCAAAATGCTCTTATTTTAATCATGGTTAATTTCCTGGGCTGAAATTCGGACTTAATATCCCTTTTCTAAAACTCTTCCATTGCGACAGATCAACCAACCTTGGAAATTCCTATTTTTTTGAGTAAAATCCATAGATCTATTTCGTGAAAAACTTGTGGGGTACCAAAACGGTACCCCGCAAGTCGGTGGGCATTCCTTGTGGGGTACGTCCCATTGTTCCGGTACCCCACAAGGCAGTGTTTGTACACGCACCACACCACACCACACCACACCACACACACACACACACCCACACACACACATACTTGTTTCACATGACTAGTGTGGACTTTCCATTGCTTTCGTGTAGTTAAGAAAAACCAGTGAAAAAACTCATTTTTCTCAAACTGTGAAAACTCTTTCAACCCAATTTTTTTTCTATGATTCCCTTTAGTGTTTCTCTTCATTCTGCTACAGATAAACCTAACCCAAAAATGCCTCTAAACCTGTTTTCCAGAAATGGGGAAACACTGTGTGGACGTGGGGCAAGTCCACACAACGTCGGTGCTACCTACATTATGTGGACGTCTTTTGTTCGGAAGTCCACACTGCGTATGTAAGACAAGCTCACCACCACACACACACCCACCCACCAACCACACACATGTACCACACCACACCACACCACACCAACCAAACTAGAAAATGAATTGTGGCTTACATGTAGTTAACATTTTTCGGTCCTGCAAACCCTCTAGGTTGTATTTCCGATATTGAGTTTTCATCTAAGTTTCTGTCGAAGGGAACAAAATAACAAACACATTAAATATGAGAATACATTGAATGGTACATGTATATTCGCATTTGGAGTGAGCAAAGCGGTAGGCGTCACACACACGGAGATGAATGATGTCCTTAACTGTTGTGACTGTCAAGCATTAAAGCGTTCGTGAGATGATTTTTCTTATAAATGGAGAGCTGGATATCGTTTAATCAGAATTTCGGGAACAAATCCCCTTATGATCCCATAGCATATTATCATCGACCATGATCACAGAATGGCCAGTCTTAAGTTTCGCTTGATCAGACTGAGGCTCATTGGCGCCAAGCCAAATGGGGCCAATTTTACATTTAATCAAAATTTTAAGAACAAGAAAGAAACCAGTTTTGCTTGATAGCTTGGCACTTGTAGATAATAGAATAAAAGAGTGATTTTAGATCAGACTAGTTAAGATCGGCGAGAAAAGCGCGGAAGGGGCGCGTCCGTCACCCACTTCCTGTTCCTTTTCCGGCTGATAACGTTGCAACGCAACGATAGAGAAGAAAATGAAAACCGTATTATATTGATGCCTTGGCACTTACAGAACATGAAAATAATTATAACTAAAGAGTGATTTTAGGTCAGACTAATTAATTTGTACATTTTCACTGTAATCGTCGCTCAGCTCTTTTTAAATCGTGCCAAATTTCCCTGACAGGTTTGTTCATGTCTTGCAGTTATTTTGACACCAAGTTGATGAAAATAGGGGGCATACGTACGTTTGTCACAAAATGTCAATTTTCCAACACAGGTAGGCGTAACTTTGCCCATTGATAATTTACATGTACATGGGTCATTCCAGGTGCAAAGTGTGACATTGTTAAAGTTAAATATGTTTGGGTGCAAAATATTTTCTTTAACCTTTGCAGTATAAATTTGTAGGACTGGTTGATCTTATATCTTCATTTTCGGACTTGATTTTCTTCTTACATGACGAAAAACCTGGTTTCACGTGTAACATGGACACCGTTCCAGTTACACGTGAAATTGGTGACTTATTTGTGCCATATATTTCTGTTGGTTTTCATCTAAAACGTCAAACTTTCATATATAGATAAAACAGTGAAGATTCTTGTGTCTATTATCAACATTTCAATTTTCAATGAGAAGGCTTAAGAAATGCAGCGTACATAAGTTGCTAGTTTTTTGACGTGTAACAAGACAGTGTCCCCCAAAATTAATGTCCATTACAGTGTGAAGCAAAATATCATTTTGTGCCATAAATCTGTTAGCTTTCTTTGAACATTTCTAAATTATTTAACTTTCATAAGCTAATAAATGACACTTAATCTTCTATATTTAGACATTTTCAGATGGATATATTGCACAAAATAGCGATTATTTCAATATTTAGAGGTTGAAGTCCCCATTACTCGTCACGTATGTTTCAGCCGCTCATTTAGCATGCGCGCATGCGCACTCAAAGTATGAAATACTGATAATTAGCAAACATGGATGCCTGCTGTCGCAGTTTGACCCACTGAAGTATCGGTCAACATCACGCTCGAATAACTTTTTATAACGAAATATTTTTTTCTTTCCACGTGGACAGGAATTTAAGGCAATCAATGTCACATTTGCAAACCTTTGCGTATCATTAGCAGAGAGTATTTGCTGCCAAATTTTTGTTTGTCCGTGTCGTACAAAAGCATTGGGTCTCAAATTCAAAACAGGCGACAGTTTAGGGGATAACGCTTAAGTTTTGCCGAGTATCTGTAAACTTGTCTTCACTGACAAATGATGAGGGATGCCACGGCACGTGCGATGTATAAATATCATTTAAGTCAGTCGGAAACCGTTTGAATGGGAAAAGTAAGGTCTCACGTGATACGTTTTTACGTTGAATGTAACGTTATTGTGCACGGCGTCACTGTACACGGACCCCTGGATCTGACCCGTAAACATGGCTAGAAACGCCACGCTCCGTTTGTATTCTCTGGACTGTACTTTCGATCGACGCGTTGGAAATGTATACATAGTCGAAACGATTTACAACTGACTGGTTCCCGCCCCTAAAATGCAGTTAAGTACGATCATAGAGGGCACTGGAGACCAGTCTATTTGTGCACGAAGCATTCAAAAGGGGTTTACTCGAAAAATGACGATTTTTATAAGCTACAGGTTTCCTTCTTACATTAAATCACCTGTGAAATGGAGATGATCTATCATCCTTTCCGATGGTACTACGGCTGATCTGAGGTAAACCCGGCAGATTGTCCAAATGTCACAACCAAACTCAAAAACACACGATGTTTTTCTGTTTCATTTTGTAAGGTTTTGTCCATAAGGCCAAAAAAACCAAAAAAAATTCGGTCTCTGGTCAGACCAAAGTTCCGGAATTGACGCGGCGACGCGGCTTTTTTTTTTTTTTTTTTTTTTCTTCAAGCTTGGATTGTACAGACAAGGTGGGGTTTTTGCTTTTTTGGTGTCCTCATGTACATTGGTGTCCTCCATAATTTGCCTTGGTGCTCTCGATCATTTGCCTTGGTGCAATTTCCCATTCCTTGGTGCTCTTAGGTAGAAAAAATTGAGGAGGTGCAGCAATAGAGGGCGCTGTTGGAGCTACCGCGGAACATTTTGGAAAAAAAAAAGATTGACGCGCATGATTAAAATCGACGCGCGCACTGACCAGAGACCGACTTATTTTTTTTTTATTTGCCTAAAAACGTATTTTTTTTATACATTTGAAAAAGATTTTAGCGCCGTTACCACACTGTAGAGACAATATATATCTTTTTTCACTGGTCTACTGATAATATTTGGTTTGATTCATCTTTGTAGTACGTTTGAAAAGGATACACTTTAAGACATGAAAACCAATCGTTCAGTGCGTCGTCTACTAGCGCTGTTTGCATGCCGACGACGCGGAGGAAGCTATTGCGCATGCGTGAGAAGACGAACTAAATGCACGCACGGTCTATGGGGCTGAAACATACGTGACGTGAATTCAGTAATTTTTATGTTCCATATAATCTTAAGTGTTTCATTAAAATGTCTCAGTTTCTTGAGTATGTAATCTTATCAATTACTTTATTATGAAATAAATGAATTTCAAACTTTTGAAGTGTAATCATGGAGATATTTTTAACCAAAAAAGACGTGTAACGTGTAACGGGGACACCAAATTTGGTGTCTCCGTTACACGTGAAACAATGTTTTTCATCATGTATGAAGAAGATAAATTTGTTTTTTACGATTCATGTTTTGAGTGACAAGGACAAAATTAAAACATGACAAAAATAAAACCATTTACATTGATGCCTTGGCAGTTCAGTGTAGAAAATGAAAATGTATTTTAAGAGTGTACTAGATGTACAGATGTTTGAGTGTTATTTCATCAGGGATATTCAACTTTCGCGTACAAAAATAGTTATTATTTGAAATGCACAGGTAGCTGGAGCTGACGAGTTAACAAAAACAATAGCATCCATTAGTTTGGGGCTTGAGGCTGATTAAAAAATTGAATAGCGACGATGTAAGCGAAAATATACATGGAGAGGCGTAGTGGCCGCCCCCTCCGTCCTTTTCGAGCCTTTCTTAAGTTAAACAGTTTGACTTAAAATAACTCTTTAGTTATATTTTCATGTTTCACATGGAAATGTAAATGGTCCCATCAAAGGCAACTGGCCTTCAATTCTTATTTCAAGCAAGTTTCCATAGCCAATTTCACGGAAGACGGATAGTGCCACCAGGGCGGATCCAGAACACAATTTTGGGGGGGGGGCCAAAAAAAATTTGGTCCCCCAAAAAAGTGGGTCCAAAAAATAACGGCGTGGGCCCCGAAACATTTTTGGATTCTAGATGCTCTGTGGTGCAATCTGAGGCAATTTCTGACCACTTTAACCAATGTTTTTTTGTGGAAAAGATTGCCTGCCTTTATTGCGATGTCACATAAAAAAAAAAAAAATTGGTTTCGTTTGGGGGGGGGGGGCATGGCCCCCTTTGGCCCCCCCCCCCCCTGGATCCGCCCTTGAGTGCCACCCAATGAGTGTGAAAATATTTTTTTGGTGCGTGTGAAAATATTTTTTTGTACAGCAGTCGCCACTTATTATGTGGCGGCCGTCAGATAATAAGTGTCAGCCGCCACATAAGTCGTCATAATAAGTGGCGGCCGCTGTACAATAAAACATATTTTCACACGTACAAAAGAATATAGGCCTACCACACTTTTTTATGTGGCGGCCGCTGTACAAAAAAAATATTTTCACACGCACCCAAAAAATATATTCACACTCATTGAGTGGCACTATCCGTCTTCTGTACAATTTCACAGAAAAACAAATTACAATTATTTCATAATTATTCTTGAACAAAACACACAAAAAAACAATCTGTATACTTACATTCTTACTAGGTTATTACATTTTTTGAACGTATCTGTCTCGATGATTTGCAGTCTGTTCCTGCTAAAATCACTGTGAATAAAGTTAAAGTTGAGGTTTTGTATTTTTTTCTACGTGAAAGAATTTACTATTGTTGTAAAAAAAGTTATACAGTCGTTTTTCTACTTTTGGGTTCTCTTTTGGACTAGTCTCCAATATTTTTTTTCTGACGAAGTACATTTTGAAAAGGAAAATGTACGCTTCTTCATACACAAAGATCTTTTCGATAAAATCTTTAGAAGAGAAATTTTGGCCAGATTTTCGACTCGCCCTTTGACATTATTTGGATGGTTTGTAGAAAATCGCGGGAGCTGCGAATCGACGATAAATTTTCTCCTCGGTACATCACTCCTACCGTGTGGATTTGAACATTTTGTTCATACACTACTGTCGTATAAACTCTTCCATAGGACGTTTGTTGAATCAAAATAAGTAGTAGAGTCTCTAATTTTTGAAAATTTGCTGATGAATGACCGTATGTTTGTGCCTAGTTCCGGATCGGGCGTAGTCTGAGCATCACCCATTATCCACGGAGCCATCTCCTGTCTAACGTCTGATTTGTCAAAGCATGCAGATTTATGCAAGCCGCGCGCCAGCCAATCGGATCGGAGTCGACTTTACTAAATCGTGACGTCATTTTCATCCCAAAATCAGGACTAATGCTGTGATTGGTCAATTCGAATGCAGCGTTTTGTAATACAACAACAGCTGGGAGCGCATTTGCGTAACACGATACCGAGCGCCGCGCGCCGTAATTGGTCAATTCGAATGCAGCATTTTGTTATGCAACAACAGCCGGGAGCGCATTTGCGTAACATGATACCGAGCGCCGCGCGGTGACATTTAAAAAAAGAAATCCATGGCTATGACGCGCAACGGGTGAATGACCGAAGACCCGATAGACCTATAGAAAGCGCCTGCTGATTGGTCAAAATCTAGGAAGGCAAGAGGCGGGGTCTTGCCTAATTAATTAGCAAATCTGTTCGCGCATAATAGACTAGATCGCGCGTGCACTTACGACCCAACTACACGCGCGTTAATCGATTTTTTTGTGACCTATTCTGTGCCCGTGTCAAATGTTTTCGGTCCGTGTGTGAGTTCGTGCCGTTGCGCTGCAGACGAAAGTTTCAAAATCATTTGCGTTTTTCTCTTTTTTAAAATTTTCAGGAATTCTCTTGAATGATCACGATTTTTGGTAAATCAAATAATATTTTATCAGAAATGTGTTTGATTCGGGGTTTTTCTGGCTGAAAAACTAGTTTTCTCGCGCGATTTTTTTTTCGCACGAAGCAGTGTTTAATCGATTCAGAACTGATTGAACCGATCCGGAACTAGGAAACAGGGCATCGGTGACGTCGTCAAGTCAAATTAAAAGGAGCTTAAGTTTGGAAAATTATATTGTAGCATCTCCATCACGCAAGGTAACATTTTAATCAATGTCACTTGAATTCGCAGAGTAGTTGAGCTGAAAGCAGCCTTAGTGATATCCGGAACTAGGAAAACGACTGTACTTCAGTTTTCAGAATTAAAACCTTGGGTGCTAATACAGCTTAGTGAAGTACATGTTTAATAATTAAATTTCAGAAATAGACCGTGAGGAGGATCGCACTCGTACTGGACGTGTTGTTCTAGAACTTCTCAACGGCAAGAAAAATAATCGGCAATACAGAAAACTAACATTTCATATGTAGCTGAGAGCAACTTCGGACGCACGGTTCCACTGGTTACCAATTATAGCCGTGGGCATCATAATATAAAACAGGGGACCATGACGTTTTGACAATCTTTTGACTAGAGGTGTTTGCACGTTGTTATTAGTGCGAAGGCGTACAAGTTACGTCACGGATCATCAACTTGTTACTTAAAGGTTCTCATCCGAATTCCCCCAAGCTGGATGTAGCCCGTGTATAATCATTCGGCTGTCACCCCAAAGAGTACTTACACTGATGCCAGCTTCACACCGTTCTTCACTATTGGCTTGATGTCTTGAAGTTGATTCCCGTGTGCAGTACTGCCAAAAATACGAAACGAACATTTTGATGTCTTGCATTTGTATTTGTACTTTAAGTTTATAAAACGATTACCCTACAAGGTGAACATTCAGATAATTCCCTCCCCCATCTGACATTTTTTTTTGGGGGGGGGGGGGTGGGGATCCGCGGAATTTGAATAGAACGCAGCAGCTCTCTACGTGAACAATCATTAAACGATTTGACACAGATGGCAATCCGTTCGATTCAGACGTCGTCAAGTCAATAAAAAGTCATGTACGTCACCAGTTAATCTTTCAAAAGTAATTGTGTACAATGATATCATCAAAGTCTACGCGTTTGACATAAAAAAGTCATGTCACTAACTACACCTTCCGAAATAAAGTATCCATCGGGGAAGGAGGATGTGGGGGGGGGGGGACAGGACGGGTAGCGCCACCACCGTTGGGACGTATCTCATTCCGTCGTGGACAGAAGGGCGCACACATCGTGGGCAAGGAAACTCAATGTATTGCACACAACGATGTCTGCAGTGTATGCACATACAGAGCTCGCTCGCTATTACAGCGCGTTATGATTGCTCAACCGCCGCAGTCGATCGACCACGCAGAGAGTCGATCTTCAATAGTGTGGAGTGCATTGGCCCAAAGCATTGAATTCGTGGTCTGCGAGAGTATGTAAACAGCGACAATCGTGGACAAAGGACAAAAGGGTTAGGGCACAAACAATACCTGCACGATCGACCGAACGTCCCGTATTGGGATAGATATTATCTGTCTTATCATGCTTCTCTAAATTACTTGAAAAGATAACGATTCATTCACTTTTTCATCTAAATTTGACATCTTGTACAATGGTCAATATGGGTTTAGAAGCAATCACTCTACTGACATGGCGACAATGGATATGGTTCATAAGATCACTAAAGGTTTTGAGAATAACTGCATATCTGTTGGTATTTTTTTAAAAGATTTATCAAAGGCGTTTGACACTATTAATCACAATATTCTGTTGCATAAGCTCAATTTTTATGGAATATGAGGTATTCTCCTTTGGACTGGTTTTGTAGTTATCTTTCTAACAGGAATTGCTCTTCTGCTTTGAAAACTATCACATGTAGAGCTCCACAAGGATCTCTGCCTTTGTTATTTTCGTTGTACATAAACGATATTTGCAATGCTTCGACGGTCCTTTCTTTTATCCTCTTTGCCGACGACACCAATATATTTTACTCAAGTAATAACAAAAATGTAGATATACTATTGTAAATGTTCTCAATGTTGAATTAAAGAAAGTATCGGTTTATAGCTTCAGGCTAACAGATTGTCACTTAACTTGAAAAAAATGTACATTTATGGCTTTTCGAAGTAGTAAAAAGAAGTTAAATATATCTAATTGCCTACAGTACAGCCTGAGCTCGGCAGTTTCCAGGACTTTAAGGCCACACTAGATCAATGGCTAGTGTACCACACCAGCATATACGATGGGGACAGCGGGAGGTCAGAGAGGTCACATACTTCTCGTTCTGCTGGGACCCGTATTTCCAGCTCCATATCGATAGCCAGAGCAATGGAGCATTAGAAGACTGGTGAACTATTGGCCCGAACTAAAGCACTTCGAGAGAAAGGAAAGTTGGAGGAGGAGAGGCTCCAGTTTGAAGCCAGGAGGAGAGAAGAAGAGCTGCGACTCAAGCAGAAAGAGGAAGAGCTGGAGCTCAGGACCTAGTTGCAGGTCTCAAGTGCAAAAGCAGCAAGTTTTGAATAACAAAAAAAATCGTACGTTACGTGACGCGCAAAGCACGCGAGCGCATAATGCGCGACCGGCGTGCAATCTTCAAAATGCGCGCGCAGTACGCTCTGAATAGCCAGTCGGAGATGGATTATGGCAGCCTCGTTTTTCGCTAAAAACACCCTGTATCTGCGGTTGTAAAGGGACGAAAGGGGTACGTACCTTTAATACAAATCTTTGCTAAATAACGCAACGTCCAAACCTTATGTTTGAAAGCAATGATTCTTCAAAAACAAAACTTTCAACAATTTAAAGATGGCGTTGGCGCGTAAAACGCGAATACGTTACGCGCACAAAATGTGTGTGTGAAAGACATTAGCGCGTGATTCAGCCCGTGACACGCGAGTACTTCATTTGTGTGCGCTATACTTTCTGGTTCTAACTGACGTTACACTTCCGTACTCCATAAACCATTTCGCGATCGCTGATGGGGTCCCTAGGAAAGCCTAGGGAGAAAATAAAGAAAAAGTTAAACCGCCTCTACAAAATACCCAAGACGTTAGTGTGAGCAGGCGCGTGGTCTGATTATTGTATCGCACTAATAATTGCGGACGCATGTAGCCTACGGTCTGCTGTTGATCACTAGCGTCTTGGGCCAAGACTACCGCGAAGCGGGTGAAAGGCGGCGAAGAGCCGCCTCCCTCAGCCTGCGTCGCAGGCAAGGCAAAGCCCCGTAACCTATTACTACACCTCATAAATATTCATGATCAAATTGGAGCACGTCATTGGCCGATTCGCGTTTGGGAAGTAAAAATGATACGCGCTTAGGTGACGTCATCCCGGGTAATATCCAACTCGCTGCCGTGTGTGGTATCTAGTTTTTCTGGCAGCCAAAATGCCCTCTGTAACCCTCCTCGTAGACATGTAGTCTATGGCATGTAATCTTTACAGAACCAGTCTGTTGTTGCTATCCTGGTTACTACTGCAGTAAAGACACATTAAAGAGTGTTGGCACCCGACTACTGTGACGAAGAACTTGAATTGTGCTGAATAAAGATGCAAAATCTACGAAGGTCGTTATCGACAAGGCAGTAGTGAGGATAATAAAAAAGGCAGTGAGGCTACTAAATATTTATGAGGTGCAGTAAAACAAATACAGCATGGTTTATTTCTTGAAAATAGTTGGAATTACTTTTCCCTCGGTGTAGGTCAGCTTGACTACCTCCCTCCGCTTCGCGTCGGGAGGTAGTCAAGCTGACCTACACCTCGAGACCAGTAATTCCCACTACTTCCCTTCAAACCATGCTGTACTTGTATAATCCAATATTTTGAACTTACAAGATCATGACGGACTCCGGCAATTCAAACGGTGTTTCGATCAAGTTGTTGGTTACATTTCTGAAGGGTGAAATAGGCTGGATTATTAGAACACTAACTTCGATATATGTAAACGATATTTACACGAGAAGATGTCCCATAGCGAGAAATATAGGTACAATTATTTAAGCTGACAATATCAATATCAAAACCAGGGAAAAGGAAAATTACAACTCCGACATTAAGAAGAAGCAACGTTTTAATTATTGTGATTCATATTGAAACGATTAAGCCCATCTGCAATATCAATGATTAGACGAGCAGATGGGTTAAGGCTGACGGTAGCATTGGCAACTGCAATGGACGCGCGTCGCATACTAACAAGAAAGGACTTTCGTTTTCCTTTAAAGACACTCAAGAGCCCATCCAATAAAAATAATAAGAAGAATGGTTGTTGGAACTTGCTGCTTCCTGCCGCGAGAGGGCGCTACACTGCACTTGCTGCGCTTTAGCTTTACTCAATGCTAAAGGCCGCTGTTTCGCGCGCTTTACCGCTTGTCATCTGTGCAAGTTTGCCATTTTACTTGCAACAAACTAATCCGATTTTCTCTCCTTTTGGGGGGCAATCATAACACAACTGGGTAAGTCCCTTTTTCCTCGTTATTTGGAGATAAGGGCTATAAATTGCATTGTGGTCTCCCGAGACAGATTCATGAAACTCGTGCTTGTAGGGTCATACCTTTATTAATTGAAACCGATAAATATGGCATTCATATTTGTTGTTCACTTGATTTAAGGTCTTCTTTGCTAAGGTGGCTAACCAATCATAATGATGGACTGGCCTTGGGTTTATAATCTAAAATTAGCATCAGAATCTGCCCTTCGGTTGGAACTTTATATCTGTTCAGTAAATTTATAAATTCTGTACAAACAAAGGAATGAGGATTAAGGACAATAGGGGGTGCTCGATTGCCGGTGTTTACAAAGATGCGTGTGATCTGATACACGGTACCCTGTGGAGACATGTGCATAACGGGGAACAAAAGATTGTATACGTCTCCACAGGGCAATTTCTATAGATGAATACGTATCTACAAGGTTATCACGAAATAGATATATGCATTTTACTCAAAAACTAGGAATTTCCAAGGTGTGTCGGTCCGTCGCAGACTGAAGTATTTTATGTAAGGGATATTAAGTCCGAATTTCAGCCCAGGAAATTAATTCTGGTTAAAATAGGAGCATATTGAAACTACACTTGCAAAATCTAAAATTTTAGTAAACGAGAACGAAGAAATGACTCCACAGGGATACAAATTCCAGCATGTGTGCGTTTGTTTATGGTGTAAATCGAGGGCACGCATGTGCAACATCATCGACGAAAACGTGTACAGAACCAATGCGAGTTGTTGCAAGAAACATAAACAAAAAAAAGGGACGCAGAACAAAAGAAAATCTTCGATACACACCATAAACAAACATGCGTTGAACAATTGGAGACTATGGGGTCCCCTATTAACGGAAGGTCCCCAAATTGGCGATCGTAAACAAAACATATGGGAGGTATCCCTAAAAAGTACAAACAAAAGAGGGACAATAGGGGGGCCCCGATTGCAGGTAAATACACACTTGGTTGGGTGTGCCTGTACGTGCCTACGTTCAAGCGGGCGGACACTTCTGGGGTAGGTGCATTGTTGTCTCATTGTCCCTATTTCTAAAGATTTAACTTGCGGGGTACCTCATTTTCTAAAGATTTCACTTGCGGGGTACCTCGAACAAAGGACAGGTACCCCACTAGTGGTCCATGGTTGGCACTTGAATGTATACATGCGTTTGCTTATGGTGTTAATCGAGGACACACACGTGCAACGTCATCAATGAATTGAGGACAGGAACCAAATCGAGGACTCCTCGGTTAAAAAAACGTGTACAAAACCAATGAGAGCTGTTGCGAAAAACAGTACAATATAATATTATATGGATAAAAAGGAAACACGACAACACGACCATAAGACAACTCACATTCTGACCAGGGATCTCAATTCCAGCAAACCATCGTAAGGTATCTCCCGCAAGAAATTCTCTCCGAGTAAACTGTTAAAAATGTAAAATAAAAGAAGAAAAAAATGATCAAAGAAAAATTAAACGTATTTGCGAGCTATACTTTTTCGAAAGGAGGGTTGGTTACACTATCAGCATTTTCATTATCCACAAGAGGTCCATGCTTTCAGGCAATTTATCGTCAAGAACGCAGACCTAGAACTAAATGTTCAAGGGGCAAATCTGCCAGCTAAATGTTTCGAATGTGTTCAGGCGCGTTTCTAGGGGGGGGGGGGGGTTGGCTAGTGGGGGCTTTAGCCCCTGACAATTTTTGTCTAGCCCCCCCCCCCCAAAAAAAAAATGGCAGTCGCCAATTTTAGACGCTGACGTCCTATTCGAATTATATCTCTCCCCCCCCCCCCCCCCGGCACACACCTATTGATTTTCCGAGGCCTAAGTGTCCGGAGAAAAAAACAGGCCTTCATTTCAGCACGCCCCTGCAAAACTGTCTGGATCCACCCCTTGTAGCCCCCCCCCCAAAAAAAAAATATAGGCTCTAGAACCGCGCTTGCTAACTTTCCTTTTTTATTCATAGTTCTCATAACCTTAAAAGGGAGACGAGATTCATCGATTTAAAAACAGCCTTTTTCATTTCCTCTGCTGGTTTTATTCCTTTAATTAATAGTTACCTCACCCTTAGGAATTCTTAATCTTTCGGAATGACAGTTTTTTTGTGACTCCTGCATGAAAGCTCGACATGTAACTTAAAGATATAAGTCGTTCGTACGACATGTAAGTCATACGTACGACATATAAGTCGTACTTAAAGAGTTACAATTCATAAGTCGTACGTACGAGATGTAAGTCGTTGTGATTACGAGTTATAAGCCGTACGTACGAGTTATAAGTCGTACCTACGAGTTATAAGGCGTAAGTACGAGTTATGATTCCCAAGGCGTTCTTTCAAGATAGAAGTCGTACGTACGAGTTAGTTTAAGGGAGATGTCCCTAATACGGCCTCGTAGAAACGTCTGGTACAAACTGGAAATGAAGCACCGTGTTGCCCTAGTTGGATTCGAACCCTTTAAAGCCTCTACTCGCGAAAGAAATCGGAATTTGTAACTCACAAGGACACAGCAGACTGCAGAAATTGTTGAATCGTTAGACTGGCTTCTCAAATCAGTAAATAAACTTGCTGAGCAGTAAATTAACGGGGTCCGCTCATAAGTCCGACGCCTCATAAGTCCGAAATTTCGGACTTATGAGGCGTCGGACTTATGAGGCGTGGGACTTATGATACAGCCCCAAATTAACTAAAAATATGGAAAAACACTCACGCCATCCAAGGTGTTTGCGACATACATCAAATTAAAGCTTATATCATCATCTTTCATTTTCTGTTAATTATATGGGAGTAATCTGATTACTTTTGGGAGAAATTTGCCTTTCAAACTGTTCAATCCTAAAATTAGTGTTGAAGCCTGTCAACATTTAAAAATAATAGGGGTACGCTCTATTGTAAAAATGCAAGGGCCCAATTTCATCTAATGTCACAGAAATACATCCTCGCAGTACCGTTCACGAATGCACAAACACAAGTTCTTTTTTTTTAAATCCTCAATTTCAAGGCCTACAAAATGCTCCAATTGTAGAGAATTTGAGGACATGCAAATCTTGATTTGGCCGACGTAAGCCTTTTTTAAAGGGAATATACATCATTTGTCTTTGCTGCAATTTTCAGAAATAAATGGATTTGGAGGATTAGTATGCTATAGAAAATGTTGTTAAACTGTCATGTTTCACGTTTTGGGACCGAAGAAGCTGGAAAATCTAAGAAAACCAACCATGTTCTGGTAGTCTGCTTCACTGACTCCACTTAAAATGAGATGTTGCAATTTATAGACTGAGGGGGATTGTTAGGTCAGAGAATCAGTCTAGCAGGCTTGTACCCCTTCACAGATGTGTAATTAATTGCAAAGAAAATGCGGGATAACTAAATATGAAAAAATAGGAGCACTTTTTGATAAAAAGCCAGTTTTCTCCAACGATGGTCGGCCGACCAGCGTTGGAAAAATACAAGTTTTCTTGAAAATGTCAGCTCACCAGGAGCCAAGATTTTACAGGATACTTTAGACTGTCATTCCCTAACAATCCAGTAAGGTATTTCGCTATAATTTGATCATTTCGATTTTTGATGTTTGCAAATGTTGTATCTTCCCTTTAAGTGGGCATATTTTGTTGGCGTTTTCACGAAGGGACAAATTGGGCCACGGGGTTTTGAAAAGTGGTTTTGAGAAAAAAAAACTGATTTTAAGTTGGTCACTTTTTGAAATATAGATTTTGCCTATTTTTGGAGCACATGCCGACTAACTTGTGATACAGATAGTAAGCTGAGATCGTAAACTTCAAATAATATATGTACCAATAGAGTATAATAGAACAATTAATTGCGAAGTAGTTAAAGGGGCACTAGGTCCTGAAATCCCCAAAAATGTGAAGTTTTGGATTATTTACTTATCCTATTTCAAACATCTGGTTGAAAGGAAACCAACCTAATTTACTGTTCCCGAGAAAAGACGAACCAAAACCCAATTGTTTACATCGGACACGACGGGGTACGAATACGTTTTTCATGTCGTTTTAATGTACGATATACACTTTGTGTGTGTCTATTAATACGTACGTATACAGCACCGAGCTCACGAACAGCGGTGACCAATCACCAATGCACAAAATATGGTTTCATACACGTCCGCAAAAGGCGAACACATTACTGATGAAATCACAACAAGCACCAAAACAGCTCGACTATCTGGGGTCGCAAAAGCGGACCCCGAAAGTCGTTCTCGCACGCATAATACAGTAATAACACAAAAACGCCAACTTTTTAAAGGATAGTTGTTTGGATGTTTATATCCTAGTTTAAAATGTTCTTTCTGATTAACATTATTTTGTTGAAAGCGCCGTTTTTGTCCGTATTTTGGGCACAGACGAACATTATTACCAGTCTCATTTTGGGGGGTGTCAGAGCAGGGGGGGGGGGTGCATTATTTTTAAGGAATTTCTATGAACTTTTTTTTCGACAGAGCTGGGGGGGGGGGCGGTGTGACCCCTACCCTCCCCCTTGGATCCGCGTCTAATATTCGGCATTTGCACGTTGCAAATTGCGACTCTGTACCCCCTCCCCCCCCCCCCCCCCCCCGGAGCCACTGGGCCCTAGCTCCCCATTCATGGAATTACTTACAGTGCTTTCGTCCCATTTGGGATACCTCTGGGTAGTTCCGTAAGACCTCTCCCCGTGCAGTCGAGTAGGGGTCTCTTCCATTCGCACACATCAAGAGCTTTCCCCGTTTGATTCACCGCAATGGCCGTGTTCAGCATCGCAAGAAGCTGAAACATGACCACGAGATCCATGGCTGCATCACTTGGACTCGTTATTCTCTTGCCAAGCGACATGGTATATTTATAACAGGCTTTCTATAGCTACATCCAACTTTACCGGTATTGCTTTTCCGAGGCAGTTTTCACCAGTGTCGGCTTGCTTATAAGCAAGGTGAGTTATATACCCAAGCCTAGGGTGCTGTCACAAAGAATCGCACTGGTTGAGTGTGAAGGGTATTCCCTATGAATCATGTACCAGTATTGCTCAATCATGGTCACTCGACCATAGACATTAGACCTAGTCTATGTATTAGACATTCGCCGTGGTCTATTTCGCGTGAACAGATTTTTCTGATTCATTAGGCAAGACCCCGCCTCTTGACCTCCGAGATTTTGACCAATCAGCGGGCGCATTCTATATCGAGTCTTCGATCATTCACTCGTTGCGCGTCACGTAGATTAAAAAAAAGGTCGGGCGCTCTGTATCATGCTACGGGATATGGGGCCATTTGTTGTTGTATAGGTTTTCTCGGTCAATTTCGGCAAATGAGCAGCCAATTTAATTTTCGTGCGTTCGAATTGAAGCTATTTTGCCTCTCCAGTTGTTACTGCGTTTCAAATTCAGAATTCGGCGATTCAATTTCGTTTTGAGGCATTCAAATTCCCTTAGCACTGTGTTCAATTTAGCATATCGTCATTCTTTTTCGTGACACACAATCATCATTCAAGTTAGCAAAGCTGGTTCGACTGGAGATTTTACTGATTCAATTTCGTAAAGAGGCAATCAATTTCGCTTTATAAAGAGAATTCAAATAAGTACGACTAAAGAAATACGAATAAACAGATAAACTGTACTAGGCAACTGTTTCGTATCTTCACTTTAATTCAGGCAAACCTTGTTTTCTTTATTTATGCTTCCAGTAGACTTTACATGGGGCCAATGAGGTTTTGTCTTCTTCTTTGTTTTCTTCTTCATTCTTTTTTTTGGGGGGGAGGATCTTTATTGGTTAACTGACCAAGACCTAATTTTGTATTGTGTTTGAATGGGGTGTTTCTTTATGTTTTTCCTGGTTTTTTATTGTTTATGTTGTTTCTTCCTCAACCATCAATCTGTTTGCGTGCCTGACATCTTGGCATATATGTTTGGGTATGGTTGTACCACTGCATGCACTTCACTTGGGTGATGACATCAACGCTCTGGAAGGCTGCTTGTTGAAGGAGATCGCACCTCCACTGCTGCATGTTCATTCCTGCTTGCTGGGCAGCCTGTCTGTCTCCGACACGTTGTTGCCACTCAGGTAACCCAAGGATGCGTTTAACTGCAGCCTTGAATGCAGAGTGTGCCATCTCCGTGCTGTTCAGGAATGGGGAGTAGGGAGGGAGGCGCTTCAGCTGGATCATTGGGTTGGCACCTTCAGGGAGTTGGGCTCGCACATGAGGCCTCTCATTGTCGTATATGAGGTAAATGGGTTCGTCGTCTGGGAAAACTGCATCACACTCTTGAATTGTGTCCGCAAGAAACTCCTCGAATCTCTCTCGCGTCACAGAATAGCGTAGTGGTTAAATTGGCTGCTCATTTGCCAAAATTGACCGAGAAAACCTATATTACAAAACACTACATTCGAATTGACCAATCAACAATTAAGTCCTGATTTGGGAATGAAATGACGTCACGATCTAGTAAAGTCGACTCCGATTGGCTGGCGCGCGGCTTGCATAAATTTGCATGTCAGGAGATGTCAGTCGTTCTCCTGGATTTGGTTCCGTGGATATCGGGTGATACTCAGACTACCATAGACCTAGACTATGTAATATAGCACGGTGAATGCCATGGTCTATGATATTTGAGCAGATTCGCTGATCAATTAGGCAAGACCCAGCCTCTTGACCTCCTAGATTTTGACCAATCAGCGGGCGCTTTCTATATCGGGTCTTCGGTCATTCACCGTTGCGCGTCGCAGAAAATAGATAAAATAATGTGTACCGCGCTCTGTATCATGTACGCGATATCGCGCCCGGCTGTTGTTGTATTACAAAACACTACATTCGAATTGACCAATCAAACCATTTAGTCCTGATTTAGGAATGAAATGACGTCACGATTGTAAAGTCGACTCCGATTGGCTGGCGCGCGGCTTGCATATAATGTTTATGTTTAGACATATCAGAGGTACAGGAGTCTTCCTCCGTGGATAACGGGTGATACTCAGACTACCATAGACCTACAACCTCTATTTAGCTTGCAACTCTTTCAAAAGAAAACGATGTATGAAAAAGCACGGCTATTAAAGACTACGGAGATAATTTTTCACATTCCAACGAAATGATGAAAAATAACAAAGTTTTTTTCCTATAACATTACCATAACAGAAAGCAAACTTTCTAAAAAGTGCTGACACAGCATTTTTGGAAATGGCGTAAACTCCACTATTTTTGTTGGGCACAGTTTTTTTTGATAGATTTTTGTTTTGTCTGATGTGGTAGGTCCTATAGTTGCCTGACATCCTATTAATTTTTTATGCCATTCAGAGCTTTAAATTTCAGACCTTTGTGGAAATTCCGACAACAATAAATGCAGTATATTGTACACCTTTTGAACTTTGATCTTGATCTGACCTTGACCTAGGCCGCCAAAACCGGGCAACCCCCTCTAGAATGACTTCTTGGGTACAGTAAGTGTACCAAATTTAGTGCTTGAATCCGGCGTGTTTCGATCTTCCCCTAAATAAGCTCTAAGCCACCGGACTATACATGAGTCTTGCTCCGTGGATAACGGGTGATACTCAGACTACCATAGACCTACAACCTCCATTTAACTTGCAACTCTTTCAAAAGAAAACGATGAATAAAAAAGCACGGCTATTAAAGACTACGGAGATAAAACACCATTTTGCGACTTATTTTCTCTTAGACAGGGTGTGTTTGTATGCCCACAAAAACACACGTCTATAATCTTTCTCCAATATTCGTGCCAATGCCAAGCCAAATCCCAGTATGAATTGCTTCATCCAGGTCTGTTCACTGAGATGTAAAGTGCGGATTCTTTTGGGGATTCCCTGGCAAGTTCTAAGGAGCCATCCTTTTGTCCCTAGTTTTTTTTAAGCGTAGGTGCTGGATTGAAAATGTGGTGAAACGTCTGATACAAACTGCAACTTAAATCAACTTGGGCCCCTAGTTGGATTTGAATCCACTATCTAAGCCTCTACTTGGGAAAGGAATCGGAATTGTCGACCCACAAGGGAACAGCAGACCACACAAAAAAGAGTTGAATTGACAGGCAGGCCCATAAGTAAATAAACAGTAAATAAACGACCATATAGACTGCATTAATAACAAATATGAGGAATAATACAACACATAATTTTATACACCTAGACACCCACTTTTGGCAACACCCCCAAGGTACAAAACTTTCCTTCTATCAACTCTTCCATCAAACCTTCATTTCTTCAAACATTGCTTTAACCCATGAGTCTTCAACCCATAAACAGTTTTCAATACTGAACTGTGTTCAACTGTAATAAAGGAAGCGTATATATTGTACCATGGGACCAAAATCTCATTTCCTTTATAAATTTAACTGCAAGTCTATAACTATAGTCGGCTATTTAGCTAAAATCACTATAATTGATGCCAAAAAATTATTCGAAAATTCCATCGGTTACGTACTCTTCATGAAGTGACTTATCACTAGCGAAAGGCATGAAAAACTAGAAGAGCAAACTAAGTCTCTGCACATTTGCAATGGCCACATTAATTAATTCATTATCTAGTTCAATAAAATCTACAAATGATACAAAGTTTGTAAAAATTGCTCCAGTTCTTACAAGTCAGTGAGCAAGGAAATGATAAATCAGTGTGAAACGTGCCAATGATTACACGCAACGCACAACAACTGATTGTAATACTGATCACCGGCGGTCGCGAAAGTCCTTTAACGAAAGTCCATCACCGATCGCAATGTCCATCACCGATCGCGAAAGACCATCACTGATTAAATGCCTCTTTGGCGTTCTTGTTCCACCAACGGAGGCATTTAATCGGTGATACTTTGCAATTGGTGATGGACTTTGCAATCGAGTGACGGTCTTTCGCGATCGGTGATCAAAGTTGCGATCACTGGTCGTTGATCAGCGATCACGAAAGTCCATCACCGATTGCAAAGTGGATCACCGGTCGTGCAAGTCCATCACCAATGGCAAAAGTCCATCACCGATCGCGAAAGTCCTTCGCCGATTGCAAAGTCCATCACCACTCGTGAATAAGCATCGCAAGTAAAAGTTGATCACCGGTAGCAAAAGTCCATCACCGATCGTGAATATGCATCACCGATTGCAAAAGTGCATCACCGATTCGATGATCACATTAAATGCCTCTTTGGCGTTCCATATGACCACGGCCATCGCGCGCGGTGAATCAAACGCGGGAAGCCTGCAGGGTGTACGAATGCTAGGGACCCATAGTCATCTGCATGGAAAAAGGTCTTACGGAACTGCCCAGCGATATCCCTATGTAACGGAGGCAAGCGCACTCGCATTGAGTTTTCGGGGGGGGGGGAGATGGGCCATGGGGCAGGGGAGAGATTGTTTTCATAATTTTCTGTATTTAAAATATCGGCAAAAGGAATGGTTTGGAAAAATGAAAATCCATTTTTTTGTTTTCATGTCGCTTGGCAACAGAAGAAGCAGTCCAAATAATGCAATGGGTCTTGTGGTAATGTCTCAGCTTCTTGGGATGTTGACCACGACCGTTGCGGTAAATCCAACAGGAAAGCTTGCGATGTGTGCGATATGCAAGCGACCCGCAGTCATCTGCACGGGCAGAGGTCTTACGGATCTTTCAGAGGTATCCAAAATGACATTAAATCACTGTAAGTTATTGCAGTGATATGGGGGGGGGGGGGTGTGTTGAGGTCGAATTGTTCTCAGTCTCCTGTATTTTGGACGCAAGCGGAAATGTTTGGGAAAAATGAAAATCCGGTGTTTTTTCGGACTCGTTCTTCTTTCGCCAAGTGGCAAGGTTTCAAACTGTCTTCCTTGCTTCATCCAACTGCTACATCCAACCGTATTTCTTTCCAGTAACATTTTTACCATTGTCTGATTGCTCGCTTTTAAGCAAGAAAGTGTTACCCGAGTTATAGTAAAATAGAAGTGTACTTGGCCCCAATGAAGGGTATTCCCTATGAGTCATAGTGCTCCACCGTGGT